TATAGCCACAAAACTATTTTTGTGTTAAAGTAGATCCATAGAGAGCAATGTAATTTACAAAGGCCTTCTTTCAACATACAAATAAATGACAACTTTATAATTAAAATGAAAAACACAACAAAATACCTCGGTATCATAATTGATCAAAATTTGAAATGGGGTTGATCCTTAGAACATATATATTCAGGAAAGAGCATGCCATGTCCGCGTTAATCTAATCGATCTGACGGAAGTGGTAGCCATGTTGTACTATTGATGACTCATCATCATATGATAAATGGTTTCTAAAATTGATTTATAATTTTAGTGATTAAAATTTGTTAATAATTTGGATGTTATATGTGTTAATTTAAACTTTTATTAAGCGTATGTTTTGTAGACATTTTTAAAAAGTGTTTAGTGTTTTAGTATTTATTTAGTATTACTGTTAATTTTAAATTTTCCGTGTTAAAAGACAAACAAGACAATATGGTCAGTTGTTCGTCTTGTGGATATAGCATCACAGCTAAAAGTAGAAAGGAATAATCTACATTTCATAAGCAAGTATTTTGTTCTCTCAATTTTCAACCACATTGAAGATTTTTAAAATTTTTAATGTTTTAAATTAGTAAACAAACATGGTAAGTGCGTCTGCGATCAACTGTGCTTATAGGCGTAGTCTCATGGTTTATAAGGTATACATACTTTTATTTAAACAATTCTTTGATGCAATTTTAAGATATTTATGTGGTTGTTAAAATGCATAAATTATTGTTCAATCTAGATTTATAAATTGATTGCAAGTAAACAATTTTCAGATTTCTTAAAGATTCTAGATGTACAAATTATATAAATTAATCCCAGGTAGACAATTTTCAGATTTCCTAAAGATTCTCAAAAAACAAAGTTATGGCTTGAGTTCATGCAACAAACAAATATCTGAATTTTTTGTGTTCACCCCATTTTAAAACAGATTGTTTTGATCGAACCTCAAAACCAAGAATAAGACTTCTACCAACAGCTGCTCCAACAATAAAAGTGGTCCGGTTGAAGTATATAAGTAAATAAATTCTTTACTAACTATATATGTACCGTTTTTTTCGTATAATAGAAGTTTATTGTATGAATGTGATGCACCCTATATAATTTATTACAAAGTTATTTACAAAGACGAACACAAATAGAATTAATAATATCTCAAGTAAGGAAATAAGTAGCATATCGCATGCCTCAAGATACTGTCTTAGGTCCTATCTTGTTTAATTTTATTTTAAATCATTTGTCGTTTAAATACAGATGGAAATATTGTTAGTTTTTTTAGACGACACAGTTATTTTGTAAAATGCAGAGAACTGGAATTGATTAAAATTATTAATAGAAACAGATCTTATAAAAATTTTTCTTATAAAAATTGGTTTAATTATAAAAACTTACAAACCTTTGATAAAACTTATGTTGTTCCATTATACAGTTACAAAAAGATTCCTATAGAAACAATAAAAGGTAACGTTCAGTAGTTTTATATAAGTATTACAAATGATATCAAATACCTTAGAGTACAAATTGACTCTCATCATAATTTGACTAAGCATACAAATAATGCATTCAAAGTACATTTAAAAATAATCTATTTTGCACTCATAGAATCATTATTACGTTATAGGATTCTTTCTTGGAAAAGTGTTTTACCTGATTATGCAAAATTGTCCTGCAAAAAATATTACTAATAATATGTAATAAAATGATAGAAATTCTCTTCGATATTAGGAAGTTTTATGTGTACTCCAACAAAAACATCAAAGAAAGAAATATCACAGCGGTGTTTGACCTAAATATTATAGGATATTTAATTTTTTTTAACGCAGTCAATATATTTTTTAAATACATTATTGCTTTGATTTTTCACCCAACATGCAATTTTAAAGTAAAATTTATTCACATAATGAAGGTTAATAAAAAAAAATGCAAACTTCTCGCAAGAAAATAGCAATTCGTTAAAATGAGAGAAATCGGTAAATTTAGATAATATGCAAATGAGAATTTATTATTTTATTTTCTACGCGCCTTTATGACAGTACGTCACTGGTAGACCGGAAACACTTTTCGCCATATTCGTCTAGTTTCCTGTCAACATTAGATACCATCGCGATTCCAAGGTTGTTTAGGATTCCTCCTTCCTGACTATATATATTCAAAGGGTTGATCACATTACGTCATTAACAGCCAAAGTTCATTTTTAAATTTTATGAATTGAGGAAACTTATGACTAGGAGTTTACTAATTATTATTTACAATTCGCTGGTTGAATATGTAATCCCAAAATTGTATAATTAAAATTATGTACAAAAAAACAGTATTATATCTTACCTCTCTTTTATATAATAAAAAAGTGCTTTGTATAAGAACATTATATTATCTGTCTTGCTGTACCTTTATTTATGGAAAGCCTGAATTGAGATACACTACAAATTATTTGCAATAAATATAAAAAAAACATACATTTTTAAATTATTTGACATTTAAGAGCCATTTATCGTGCCGGCATACATACACACAGACGACCAGACGAAAATTTTTTTTTTTGCAACTTCGGACTCAGAATGATCGGAAACATGAGAAAAAGTTTTAAAAAATGGGGGTAAGAAAATTTTTTCGTCTGCACGAATGCAATACTTATGCCCCATAGTAAGGGCCTCAGTAATTCGTAAAGTATACTAAGGTATAATATTTTTGAATTATACTAATGTATTGAGTCATTCATACTAAAAATTATATCTGGATTTTCGTGCTAAATGTATTTTTTTTTTTTTTTATTTTGAAAGAGTAATGTTTATCAACGGAACCGCGCATTTTCAAAGACCTAAAAAACGTATTTAGAGGTCTTGCTATGTAATGATTTATTGTGTTTTTGAATGATACTAATGTACTGAATTATTTCTATTAAAAATTAAACCTGGATTTTCGTGCTAAATATTGGCTTTTGATATTTTGATAGAGTAATCTTTTCCGCGAAACCGCGCAGTTTTAAAAACCTAAAAAACGTATTTAGAGGTCTTGCTATGTAATGTTTTATATTTTTGAATTATACTATTGTATTGAGTCATTCATACTAAAAATTATATCTGGATTTTCGTACAATGCATTGTAATGCATTTACCTTATCGTTACTATTTTATTTGACAAACAAGCTAATTTATTATTAGATTCATTATCAAGTATACTTGCCTAATATTTTTATGTTAAACCTATTATATAACAGGTGTATATGCTCATGCTATGTTGTACAAATAAAATAGGTGACCTCGACAAAATTGTTGCCAATTGTCCGTTTTAATTTTATAAAAAAAATTGTTAGTTTATTTTGTGTCAAGTTCAAAGGAAATTGAAGAATTAAGTGAGAAATATGGGTCATTTATAATTTCAAATAAATAAATCAGACCTATACAGAGCGGAAAACGAGCTTTCCATTTTAAATTAATGGATCGTAAAACTGGGATGATTATATAGGGTGTCCCATTAGTGCGTATAAATGCTCGATATTTAGTTCTTTTTTTATAGACAGGCAAACAAGTTTTAAATATGGATTTGAAAAATGCATTCTAAAAATATTTTTTGATATGCAGGGTGTTACGCTTTTGCCTGACAAAAATGTATATTTTTTTAAATGCAATACCCTGGTATTTTATTTCAGATTTAGAATGTGCTGGTAATATTATATTCGACCCTAGAACATTTTGAAAAATATTAGAGAGTAGCTACCATAGATACATAACCACGATAGATTGGATTATTTACAAAAGCCAACACGTCTTTGTAGGAAATACAATATTCTGACTGAACATTAAGTTTAGGGTGTTCTCATCAGAAGCAAAGCATTAATTCCTATAAAAATGTGAAAGCTGAAAACAGCGCAATAATAAACAATCGATATTAACTTTGAGATTTGTTTATCAGAGGTTCATCCCATAGCCGTACAAACACAAATTTAAATACCAAAAACATATTTACAGTAAATTATTTGTAGATTTATATTTAACGATTTTAAAAATTTTAGAATAACTATAATAAATTATTGTAAATAAGCTGGCGTCCTAATCGGAAAAAGTTCTTTCAATGAGTGTTTGAAATATTGAAAATATGTTTTTGTTCTCTTATATAGCAATATGTCAGTATTTTTCTATACGAAAAGTGAATTTGATAAATGTATAATTTATTTTTTTTTTATTTAAAATTTATGACCTTGGCATTGCCAATTGGCCAGACTAAAATGTATAAAAAAAATCTACGTAAATAGGTATGTTCACTAGTAATCTCCCTAGAGTTTGAATTATTACCGGAAATTTTTTCCAAGTACACGATTTTTTTGAAAATTAACCTGAGTCGCGAAGCGATATTTAAAACTTTAATATATTTTTAATAGTAAGTCTGTGTATTTTTCAAATAATTGAATCGCTAATTGTATAAAGGAGACATGTATCTAAATTTTGTATTATTTGACAGCTCCAATAAATAAAAAGTCAATGATAAATATAAAAGAAGGAAGTAAGCTGTGCATTTGACATAAATATTTTCAGTGTAATCACGCTGAGGGTACCCAGGATTTCATTTCCAGAAATCTTCCTTTTTGTCATAGTAACGATTAAAAATAACTTTACTGGGTTTTTTAAAAAAAATGTTGGTGTGAAATTTTCATAACTACAGTTGAATACCGAAATCCCAGTTTATCTGTCAATCCGAAATAATAGACATTAATTTAATGTGTGAAGAATGCTGTCATATGTCAATGCGACAAAGTTTGGAGAAATTTTTGGAGGTTACGGGACAAGGTTTTTTTAGTGGTGGGTATATATTGCAATTTCATATATGGCACCTCTGTCAGCATTCTTCACACATTCTTGACATTTCGGTATTCAACTATATCGTACAGTTGCTTTTCTTGGTATAATGAATATATAATACATCCACTGCAGATGCAGTTTTTTTGTAAATAGTTAATCAATTTTGAATTCATTTCATTGCAGGGTGTGAAAAAACCATTCAAAGAGGTGATTAAAGCCAACATTGGAGATTGTCATGCCATGGGACAGCAGCCAATCACTATAATTCGACAAGTATTAGCATTAGTGTCATATCCGAAACTTCTAGACGATCCTCGCTTCCCTGAAGATGCAAAAGAAAGGTAATAATTAATTTAGTTTACATAAAAAATAGTCTTTGTCATTCTCTAACTCTTTATATCAAATAAATTCGGTATAATAATGATTACAAAGGCGCCCCGAGAAACAAAATTGCATTACCTACAAAACTGTTAAAACACGGCATTATTATATTAATAATAATGTAATGTGAGCCATTTCATTATTCAGTCATGCTCTAATCCTCCAAGTCCCTCTCTGTCTTATTTGGCTTTTGAGGCTCAACTTGTACGATTATCATACATTATTAAACCCCTTAAGACCAAACATATGTGACGACTATGGCGGAGAAGCTTTCAAATACTATTCGAGAAAGAACGGGATAATGTTTCTAGTATATTCCAAACATAACGAGATATTTCTAGTTTGGCGGAGGAGCCTTCACCATAATTTTAAATTTGTATATAAATATTGGTGGAGGAACAACGTCAGTTATATATGGACAGTGAAGAGAAATAGTGAACAGTTTAAAGACATTCGAAATATATATAAATTAGAATAGTAGTGTTATAAAATAAATAAGTGTTTAAATAAATTATTAATAAATAAACTGTTGTTTAAAATAAACAAACATTACATTGGGTCGAGAAGTGAAATAGTGTAAATAAATAGTGGACAATAATGGCTAAAAGACTGTGTGATTTAAAAGTGACCGAGCTGCGTCGATAATTAGAAGAACGTGAACTGGAGACAGGGAAGAAATCAGAGCTGGCACAACGGCTTAAAAAGGCACTAGAAAATGAAGGTTTGGATCTGGAAACGTTTCTATTTTCGGATGATGCATCTGCTATAATTTCTTCAATTTCTTCCGATATGGAAAGTAAGATCTCAACCATGGAAACTAAAGTTTCTTCTATCAAAAATGACATTACCTCCTAAGAAAAGGTGTCTCCTGATATGTCTTCCGTGAAAAACGAAATCTCTTCTTTAGAAACTAAAGTTTCCTCTGATATCTCTTCTTTAAAAGATGAAATTTCTTCCGATTTGGAAAACAAAATATCTTCTATAAGAAATGAAATTTCTTCTGTTGAGGAAAAAATAATGTCTTCCGTTGAGGAGAAAATAAAACAGATGAAAAAGAAGATAGAAGAACTGGAACATACAGAACCGGCCAAGGACGGTGAAATGAAGTGCCATGAGGTAGAGTCGAAGTTGAAATTCTGCTCGTGTTAAAGCCCCAACTTTCGACGGGAAGATGTCATGAACGAACTACCTTAAGCAGTTTGAAACAGCTGCCAGAGCAAACGAATGGTCTGAACGAGAAAAGGCAGTGAATCTGACAATCGCCCTTCGAGGAGACGCTTTAGATGTTCTTCAGACAATACCTGTGGAAGAAACAGATGATTTCGAGCAACTAAAAAAGAGACTAAATATGCGATATGGCCACGAACTTGTGGAGCAACTATACCAACCACAGCTAAAGAATCGTAAATAGAAACGAGACGAGACTCTTCAGGAATAAGAAGTCGTTTTAACCTGTCACATTAAAACAAGAAAACCGACAATTCCGAAGCAGAAGCGGATGATTAAAACGCACCTATTAAAAATATTGCGCCAAGATGTAGGCAACACGTAATAAGGGTTCAAAATGGCGGAGTTTTCTATCTCCTTTTAAAAGGCACTTCTGCGTATCCTGAATTTGTATCCCTGGAGTGGATGTTATTTTGGAACTTTCAACTGGTCCGAGTGAGCTAACTGATTCTTTAGCAATAAACTGTGACTTCAAAAATAATATTCACTGACATTGACAGCAGCAAGCAAAATATCAGGTGCGTTTTAATCATCCGCTTCTGCTTCCGGAATTGTCGGTTCAGTCGTTTTAATCTGTCAGATTAAAACAAGAAAACCGACAATTCCGAAGCAGAAGCGGATGATTAAAACGCACCTGATATTTTGCTTGCTGCTGTCAGTGTCAGTGAATATTATTTTTGAAGTCACAGTTTATTGCTAAAGAATCAGTTAGCTCACTCGGACCAGTTGAAAGTTCCAAAATAACATCCACTCCAGGGATACAAATTCAGGATACGCAGAAGACTGCTGTTTTATTATAGGCGGTTGTCATATATTGTATTATCCGAGTTGCACAGTGTATAAACTGAAACATTGAGATCAAAAGTGCCGACGCAGAGTGAGCGATCTGATTCTTTAGCTGTAAACTGTATCACAGGGTTCAAAATGGCCGCGCCCTATGTTGAGCGTGTCGGACCTCTCTCTTGCCTCGTATAGTAATCAAAGTATGTGGGAAAACCTCATCCACCATCATCGAAAACGTTAACGCATGGCGATTTTTTTTTAATCTGGGTGTCATATTAACAGAAATTAAATTTCTGCTAATACGGCATCCATCAAATCCTATAGAGAACTATACAAATAAATTCATATGGTCTTCCTTCCGTAGGATTCGAAACCCGTGTCTGTTGTACCACAAAATTGGCTTGCAAATGAATGCACCGTAGACACGTAGATTCTATACTAATCTGAATATTTTAGTTGAACATCTAATATTTAAACTAATTTTCCTTAATATTTAAGAGATAATTAAAATATTAAAAATAGATTACCCCGTTTTCAGTCTGCACGTAAGGCAACACAAATACACACAACACACGCTTCGCTAGCGGTGTCTGTCAAATAAACATTGACATTGAAGTATAATTGAATTGTGTTATGCAAAACATGACCAAGAGCCGTTTTGTCCATTTTGAGATAATATCGCCATCTAGTGGTAGTAGGTGTAATCTAACTATAAAAAAATAAGGGGCTTATAGAAAGTTTTATTTTAAAAGAAATATTTTAAAAGAAATAATTCAAAACGCTAAATGCCAAATTTGGGTAGAATCTTGGAGAACAACCACAAGCTGTTCACAAAACTATATTTTTTATATATATCATTATGAAACTGCGGAACTAATTTGTTTTTAGTTCTTTTGATATCTGTTTTAAATATGAACTCAATCTGATTAATAGTTTCTTTTTTAGAAAGGTTAAAAGTAAAAGTCATTTTTCTCAATTCTTTAAACTGGCGCTTGGTCATGTTCTGGATTAGGCAGTCCAATTTGAATTTGGTAATACCGTGTGATCGTAGAAAAAGTCTTGTTTGTAATTCGAGCGGAAAGCTATTTGTCGTTTACAATAAATTGCCTCGCTCACTGCACTTTCTGCTCTTAACCTTATTACTCTCTGTCGTATATGTAGAGGTTGCTTTAAACGTAGATTTCGGAAAAATTATAATTCCTGTCATTAATTTCAATATTGAAAACCACTCATGAAGTGTAATTAGTGCTTTTAAAGAAGTCTTAAAAATTATGTTTTTTTATTTTAAACAATGACTGACTTTTTTTGGGACCTAAACATAAGAAAATCATCTTTAGTTTTCCATACTTCAAAATAATGTTTTCCTGAAAGCTGGCTTTAAAATAATAAATATTGTAACGATTGTTTAATTTAAAAATGGTTTTATTTATTTAAAACAGTTTATTTATTATTTATTCACAATAAGTACTAATTAATTTATTTATACTTAAGCATTAATTTATTTAAGACATAATTTATTTAACAATTTACTTTACTGTAGCGATGTTCTCACAGATATGATTTGACTTCAAATGACTGACTTCCTGTGCAACACAGCCCATTTATAAACAAATTGGTGTATGCGCTAGATTATTCTCGTTCCCACCATTTTTTAGTCAGGCGTCTTCGGCAATTTCTCGAATTTACTTCTATAAAGGCTGGGTTCTAGAACATTCTTGAATGAATGATTCATGCCGGTAAAGGGGGTTTATCCCCTTAATCAAATATTACTGATTTTAAGGACAAGTAATGACAAGTACGGTCGTAAAAAGGTCCAAACAAGGCAGAGGGATCAAAGGGTTAGAGCTTGACCATATTGGTCGGAAACGGCTCACATTACAATATTTTTTTTATGAAAAACAATTTTATTATATTTTGTAGATGATATATCGCGCGACAAGCGCCAAGTTACAAAGTTAAAAATATTTTCTTTCGGACCATTTTAAAAAGATTCCAAAATTGTCCAGGTAAATGTGTTCCAGAGATATGACCAGACCGTTACCTTAAGACATTTCATCACTCCTTAAATAATAAAAAACACTTGACCGTAAACACTCCGTATACTAAGTACCTACATAAAAAATACGGGTCGCTGACTGAATGAAAGGTATTCAAAACATCGATCAAAGATCAGTTGTGCGGGAAAAGTCACGGTGTGGATGAGTGACCGAAGTCGTAGAACTCGGGATCCATCTAGGCGGTGTAATGTATGGGTAAAATGAATGTATGAGTTGAATTAATGATGACACAATAAATCCATGAGGCTGCAGTGCCGCCTTTAGAACCCCAGAGGAGAGAACGCAGGCTGGAATTCAAGCCTGATTGAGGGAACCAGGCTGGAACCCAAGCCGAATTGAGGGAGCCTGTCGAGTCGCTTTAGGGGGAACAGAGGGATGTGTGAAATAATAAAAAAACTACATGAAATATATAATTTTGAAATAGTTGTTTTCTTATTTAAGGGCGAGAACACTTTTAAAGGGTTGCAGAGGAGGTTCTATGGGTTCTTACACTGATTCGCCTGGTATTGAAGTTATTAGAAGACACGTAGCTGAGTATATCGAAAGGAGGGACGGCATTCCGGCTGATTGGCAGAATATTGTTATTGGTGGAGGTAATTATTATTTGCACTATTTTAGTTTGAATTAAGGATCCAGTCGATGCTTCTTAGAAAAAGTAATTAGATTTGTTAAATTCTTAGTTGTAAATAAAAGCCAATATTTTCTTCAACCATCTGTTCAATACTAGGTAGGTAATCATTTTTTTATACATGTTATAAAAGAATATCCAATGAACAAAAAGAACTAAAATAATAATGAACAATAATCCAAGTTCAATCGAGTAGACCTGATATGACACATATAAATATACTGGGAAAAAACTGTAATAATATAGATTAAATATGCTTGTATTTTCCTGCAAAGCCAGCTTTAAAATATAACCAGACTTCTTCTCTTTTACTTTACCATTTTTAATGTCATTAAGGAAAATCTTAATTTTTTCTTAATTTAAATTAAATATTATAAACTATTAACTAACGCGACCGTGGCAGAAGCAAAAAAATTGACTATACAAATATCATTCTGCATAATTTCATATTCTTTGTACCAGTGAGTTTTTACACAGTTTTGTAGAAAGTTAAAAAAAAAGACTCCTCTTCCTAAGGAGTCATAATATAAAAAGAATAATTTAGCTGATTGTGCTAAGAATATTTTTATAAACATACGAAACTTTAAACGTTGACCTTTAATTCGGAAAAATTCGATCAATTAACGTTAATAATTTATTATCAGGAAGAATATTTTAAATTTTAGTACAAGCAACATTCACTTTTATCAACAAATTAAATACTTACGTAACCACGTCTCATTACAAATTATACTGATAGGCGTTCCGTTTTGTATCTTTCGACTTTGTGCCCCTTTTTCAAAATAATATAAAGTCAAAACAATAATAATGAAATTAAAAAATAACTGTGTCAGCCAACTATATTTTTAGATATATATTTGAAAATTGTTATGTAATATCCATTTAAAAACTATCCCATACATTTTATACAAAAAAGTAAAAAAATAGTTGAATTAGTGTGTAGGTTAAATTAATATTATCAGTAGCTACATGTGTCACAGTAAGGATTGTAATTATTAATTGCTATCAAACAATAAACAATTTTTTAATATTTTTTCAATTAATTCAAGAGTGAAAATTTCCGAAATAATCATTTTTTCTTTCATTGATATTAAATGTGCTATTTTAAAGACACTTTAAGATATTTAAAATTATTTTATTTCCTAGACAGTAAGAGTGACAATAATAAAGCAAGAGTGACAATAATAAATAAACCACAAAGTTAAAAAAGTATCTTTTAAAAATAGATCATTCTGATTTAAACATTCCAAATTTTACATTGCAACGCGCTTAGCAATCGGACTAATAGACGTTGATTATGTATATTTAACATTACTTTACCATCAGATCTATCAGGATATACAGGTTGAATCCTAAGTTCATATCATACTTTTTTAACTTTTTATAGAAGCCAATAAAATAACTTTTTCAAAAAATTCAAAAATAAGAAATTTAATTAATTTATTCCAAAATGTATCCAATTCGGTCCTGTCTAATTTAAATAATGTGTTTAAAAGTTGTCACCACAAAGCACATAGAGGTTCCACGTGAAACCGACAACTGACATTTTTTATGCTATTTGCTCCAAACTCTAGATGGGGCTACTGGTGAAATTATGATTTCTTACTTCATTTTTAAGCTTTATGGGAGAAAAACTTAACCAAAGAATCCAAATATATGACCTGATGTGTATTTATTTATGTTTTTGGGTAGTCTCATTTTCCCGTCTGATTTTAGTGATTTTTTGTTGGCTTTGGCTTTTGGTTTCTGTTTATAGTTTCGTCTTAGTTATTTGCAAAATTGTGATGTTTTGCTTTTCTATTTCCTACTGTGTTTTGCAATAATTTTGGTGCTACGTTGAAAACTTCATTGATTCAACATGCATCATAAAAAGACAAACGGGTATAACAACTAATTGATAATCAATTTATCACTGGACTGGATTCCGAAATCATTTTTCACATAAGAGAGTAATACCACCATCTGTATTTGGAAGGAAAATATCTATTTATCATTGAATGAATAGTTAAAAGGATTCACCTTTTAATACAATTCCTATATTACATTTGTCCTCGGTTAAAAAGACATTTATAAAATATATTACTTTAGTGTTAATAAAATGTAATAGGTATCCTAGTCTCTACTTCACATTTAAATTATTGATAGGTATTTTAAAGATATGCTCCAAGTAAGTATTCGTTAAATATATGTATTATTATTTGTATTTATTTTTATCTAATAATATTTATTCAAGTTATTAATAAACATATTAAGAATGTTCTATTTTATTATTTATTGATATATCTTATATTTATTTAATAATAATATGCAAAACCACCTCTCATCAGACCCCTTATAACAAATTAATTCCTCAAATTTGGTATAATCGACCTAAATTATTTTGTAAAATAAAAGTTTCGAACCTACTAGTTCCATACTTTATTTTATAAAATAATTTATGTGGAAATCATTTAAAATTTAATTTAAAACTACTACCTACTCCTAAAAATTATAATTTGAATTTACCGCCATCTGTCAATTGTCATTTTAGTTCCTGCTCCAAACTCAAGGTGGCGCTAATTTGGTTTAAAAGTTTAACATTGGCGTGGGGTCTCTAGAAGATACGTGCTTTGTGGTTGTCACCATTCACTGAAGTGTTGAAACACAAGGTAAAGCGTTCACTGTACATTCTGTACAATACCGATGCAACACTTTGAAGACATTCGCCATAAATAAGCAACATCAGATAGTGACAGGTTTAGGTGCCCTATTTTCGCACACAAGCCTCGAAGAGGGTTGAAAAGTACATCGATTTTAAGTAGAATGAAAGTAAATTTACGAGTGGCTCCTGGGGATAACACATGGAAAATTCGATTTTCCACAACAAAAATAAAAGGTTATTTGTTGCCCATATTTCCACGCAAGCCGTTTTCGCTATATGAACATAAGTCCAGTTCTAGATTTAGCATTTTTAATTCTGTAGCTTTCTTATTTTGGAGTTTTTTGAAAAAGTTGTTTGAAAAATATATTTATTTTAACGACTTTTATGCACAGTTATCAACTTAGAATTCACCCTATATAGAAAAAATGACGGTTGAATTAATAATTATAGAAGTTTGGATAAACATTAATATTCGGTTTTATTCGTAACCTATATAAAAAATGATAGCCGCAGCTGTAAATATGTTATTTCTATTCTTGCTGGTTCATTTTGTAGACACATTTCAATCACCATGTTGTTTTGGTCCTTATTTTTCAATCTAAATCATCACAAAATAATTAAAACACAATACACGACAAAATAACCCACTTTCTTGAAAACTAAAAAACTTTAACAAGCTATATAAACATACTACAATAAGTCGTTGAGAATAAATGAATATGATTGTCTATTTGTCAATAAAATATAAGAAAGTGGTAATATTGGTTGCCTAGATATCAGTAATTTTTTTTCTCCGTGGCCACTAGTGAATGTAGTTCTTCCGAAACCACTTATAATAACAGAAATAAAACATTCTGGCTGTTGAGATTGAAAGAAAAATCTGAATCACTTGCCTCTTATGTATTTTACTTGTATTTCATGCTAACTCTAAATAAAGAATATTCATTATGTAATAGCTACTGGCCAATGGCTGTGAATACCACGCCCACATCGTAGATAGTCATGCATTTCATGACTTACAGTTCGGCGCGACTTATAAGTATTTAGTTTGAATTTGCCTAAATAAAGATAAGCGGCGTTTGTTAAGTCGTACTTAAATTCAAAAATTGGTGAATATAATGATTATTTTATGGAATTTTCTAATATTCCTCCTGAACTGACAAAGTATGCAAATAATTTAAATAGAAACTTGCCTAACATAAGTTAGATTAAATAGTTCATTGTGTTCAAAGTTTTAATTTACTATATTTAACTTCTACTGTGTCTGTGGCCGTAGAGAAAGTACAGTATATTACTATGTTGGAATGAAAATCCGATACTCGTGGTTCTTCACGCTCGCTTACGCTCGCGTTCAGAATCTTCCACTCGTATCGAATTTTCATTCCAACCTTCTTACAGAACCATTTTTTAAATAATCTAGTCAAAATTAGGAAAAAAATTGTATGTATCACGTTACGAAATGCCGTTTTATGTAATTCGTTCATGTTGCGGGACCTCGTTCTGCTCGTCCTGCAAATATTCACTAGTTACATAAAATAAGGCATTTTGTAACTGGTGTCATAAATAGCTATTTTCAAATTATTTTCTAAAGTTCTTGCAAATTTAATTTTAAACAATCCGAACTAATTATTATCAATCAAGTTGCTCTAGAAGTTAGCTGTGAAAGAATGACAATATTGTTTCCATAACATACTTGATTGGTGATAAATTTTTATTAGTTCAGAAAATTATTTTTAAAATTAAATTAGAAACAACTTTAGGTCTATTAATTGGAAGCTATATTTGAAAAATCCGAAAGACCCTGCACACCGCTTATAGAAAAGTGACGACCTGTTAAATGTCAGAAATTTTTGATATCTTGCAGTTCTTTACCCATGGGACCATTCAAATCCTACGACTGGTTTTTGAGAAATACCACCTATTTGATAAGTTATTTCAGGTGAAAGCTAATCGATTATAATTTTTTGTGCCAAATCTTCTTGTAACAACTTTTGGCATTCTACGAATATAAAAATGCGTCAAAAATTATTTTTCTTTACAGGGTGAGCCACACATAAGTAAGGACATGTTTTTGATAATTACTTATTTTAGAATGTGAAAATATTTACTAAAAAATAAATTATTGCTATATTTATCATGTCTAATTATAATACAAAAGATATTAGGTGCCATTTATACAGGGTGATTAGTAAATATCGACATATCGCAGTATTTTTACGTGTCTTTTGTGTATTTACCATATGTATAATTATCCAATTCATTGACTATAGGATAATTTAATAAATATATTGATAGTTAATTTATTGAATGTGTCAAAAAACAAATTTTTTTTAAGCCCCCTATACTTTTTGATTAGTTCTGTGAAAGTATACATATTTTTTCACCAGCGTATTATCCATTCTATAGAAGATATTTTCCAAAATTATAGCTTTTTCTATGATTGGTTTTTGATATACATGGTGTTAAACTTAGAAAATTATCCTTTTTTATTACCAGTTACTACAGGAAAAAGCTAATCAATTACAATTTTGTGGGTCTAATATTATTGTAACAGCCTTTGATACTCCACGAATATACACAGGAGTCTAAAAATATTTGTCTCTACAGGGTGAATCGTGAATAAGTAAGGACATTTTTTTTGATAATTACTTTCATTGTTTTAGAAGTTGAAAATATTTATTGAAAAATAAATTATGTCTAGGTTTACCATTTTTAGTGATAAATCAAAATATTTTAAGTACCATATATGCAGGGTAAATAGTACATATCGATGAAGGACAATATGATTTTTAGGTACTGATTTTTAGGTACTATTATTATTAACATACGTGTATAACTATCCATTTCAATATCTGCAGGATAATTTACTTAATAAATTAATAGATTCTCCATCGAACGACCTGTTTTTATTATGGTCTTTTATTGCCTAGGGGATGAAAATATATACAAAAAAAAATATTTATTACTAGATTTATTGCTTAAATCTTAAAAAAATACGTTACATACGTACGATATGATGAATAAATGTCGACACTGGACAATATTTTTTCATCAGCCTTAATGGAATTAGTGGTATTTTATACAGGGTGACTAGTTGATAAATATTTAATGTTCTGTAAAGGTATACCTACATATTTCTTTCAGTAGAACATAATTTCCCAACATTTCAGCTTCTTTTGTCGCTGATTGTACTTTTTTATGGCCTTTTTAGTGAAATTATTAAATAGAGACCAAATAGTATTTTCTTTTACGAGATGAGTAGCTAACCCTTGTGTATATTCGTGGAATGCCAAAAGATGTTAAAATAAAACTAGCCACAAAAAAATTGCAATTGATTAGCTTTTTCCTGGAATAACAGGTAACGAAAAGTGGGTATTTCTTAAGTCAAATTCTGTATCTCAAAAACCTATCACATTAAAAAGCTTTAATTTTTGGGAACTTACTTTCTACAGAATGGTTGATACATCCGTAAAGAAACACCTTAACAGGACTAAAAATACAGGGTGATTTATCATTTCTTTTTGACACATTCGATAAATTAACTATTAATGTATCTATTAAATCACTATGTAATCAATAAATTGGATAGTTTTACACATGTTAATTTTATAAAAAATACACAAAAGTCAACTAAAAATACTGAGTTTCACATTAAAAAAAAATCGAATTACTCTGTATAAATGGCATTTAAATTCTTTTGTATTATCATTAACGATGATAATTATAGCAATAATTTTCAACATATTTTCATAAAACAAGAGTAATTTAAAAAAAGGCTTTACTTATTCACGATTCATCCTGTAGAGACAAATATTTTTAGACTCCTGTGTATATTTGTGGAGTGTCAAAGGCTGTTACAATAATATTAGACACACAAAATTGTAATTGATTAGCTTTTTCCTGTAGTAACTGGTAATAAAAAAGGGCAATTTTTTAAGTTTTAAGCTGTAATTTTGAAAAAATCTTCTACAGGATGGATGATACGCCAGTGAAAAAATATGTATACTTTTACAGGACATCAAAAAGTATAGGGTGCTTAAAAAAATTGTTTCTTTGACACATTCGATAAATTAACTATCAATATATTTATTAAATAATAATAATAATACTCTCCCTAATTCACCCCCTTACGAGTGAATTTCAACCCCTGAAGTCGACTGAACGACTTGTGTAGAGGAAGGGACGGCTATTATTATTATTATTATTTGCCGTGGCGCTCCGGGGCGACTTAAAGATGATTGATGGTGCCATTTGACTTACAGGTGAGGAAAACCCCGAAAACCTCACCCACCATCATCGAGACGGTAATGTATGGCGAATTTTTTTAATCTGCATGTCATATCAACAGAAATTGAATTTCTATTAATACGCCACACATCAAATCCTAAACCGAACCATGCAATTTAATTAAAAATCCACATGGTCTGGTCTGGGATTCGAAACCCAGCAGTCTCAGACTCATAAACTTGCCCTATAGTCACCCTATAGTCAATGAATTGAATAATTATACATATGGTAAATACACAAAAGTCACGGGACTGCGTTTCACATATATACTTATAAAAAATATATTGGCCTATGTCGATATTTACGAATTTACGAATCAACCTGTATGACACCTAATATCTTTTGTATTATCATTAGATATAATAAATATAGCAATAATTTATATTTTAGTAAATATTTTCACCTTCAAGAACAATAAAAGTAATTGTCAAAAACATGTCCTTACTTATTTATGGCTCACCCTGTAAAGCAAAATAATGTTTGACCCCATTTTTATATTTGTAGAATGTCTAAAAGATGTTAGAATAAGATTTGGCACAAAAAATTATAATCGAGTAGCTTTCTCCTGAAATAACCGTTATCCTTAAGTTTAACACCTTGTATCTCAAAAATCAGTCATACGATTTAAATGGTCCCATGGACACTATTGCTTAAGAGGTCGAGAACTGCAGCATAGCAAAAACTTATGACATTTAACAGGTCACCACTTTTCCATGAACGGTGTGCGGGGTCTTTTATGGATTTTATAACTAAATTGCCCTTTTTTACTGTCATAAAAATAATAAAGTCTATTTTGCTATGACGTGTTCAAACTATAGCCACTTTGAATCAAGTAAGACATTTTTTTCAGCATATTTGTATTTTTTAATATCAAATAAGATAATACTATCTTAAACAAAAACAAAGAAAAAAAAACAAAAATAAACAAAAAACAAGGGAAGCAAAAAAAATAAAAAAAAACTTCAACAGACGTGTTTTAAATCTTTTCTTCGGGTTTTAGAAATTCGCATGAGCCAAATAGCTTTTATTTAAAGTTTATTTTGCGAGACTTCGCTCCGCTCGTCCAGTAAACTGGTTTCATAAAAAAAATCATTTCGTAACTGGGTACATAAATAGATATTTGAATCTATCACACAAAGTCTTGTAATTTTTATAATAATACTACTATAGTCTCTTTAAAAAAAATTATTTTTTTTAACAAGAACTATTTTTTCAACTACAGGTGCAAGTGATGCAATCAAAAATGTCCTTAAAATTCTCATTTGTCCAATCGACGGTAAGAAGCCTGGAGTAATGATTCCAATTCCTCAGTACCCTCTCTATTCTGCTACTTTAGCCGAATTTAACATGGCTCAAATTGGTTACTATTTAGATGAAGCTAATAATTGGGGACTTAGTGTGGATGAATTACAAGTAAGTAAACAATATGTAATTGCTTTTATTATAATTTATATAAACAGAGAAAGGTATAACTGTCGTAATTGAAAGATGGCTTGTCCATATAACTTTTCGTTTTTGAAGATAAATAAGTGAAATTTGTTTTCTGGTCATCCTGCGGCTCATAAATTTCAATGAATGTTCTTGCAACCGGTTGTTTAACTAAACCGTTAGCCATACAGGGTGTTTCCGAACTTGGCGTCCAAATTTGTAGGGGTGGTAGTTCGCATAATTTGAGAGCGATTGGCAGATTTCATTTTTCTAAAAAAAAAATATAATAAACAAAATAGAGCCATTATAAAAAAATCAAAAAGCGGGTCCTACCCTGAGTGCGTAGCGCAATAGTCGCCTGATAGATTACTCATCGGGATTTACAACTCAAAAACAGATGCGATTTGCAAATTTCTCCCTCCGCCCGGCCGGTATCGAAAGACGTAGCCGATTGTTTAAAATTTTTAATATTTTTATTTTAAATATTTTGGAAAAATGAAATCTGCGAATCGGTCTCAAATTATGCGAACTACCACCCATACAAATTTGGACGCCAAGTTCAAAAACACCCTGTATATCATTAGCTATAATAAATCTACAAAAATTAATAAAGGATTGGCCCTAAAAGAGATTAGTGAACAGCTCTTTTATACAATCAATGTTCGCCTAAGAAGAGGTTTATTTATGTAAAAGGTGTTCAATCAATTTTCAGTCAAATACAGTATATTGGAAAACAGAAGTGCATAGTCCAGTGGCATAGTGGCCATTAACTAACTATTATTAGTCGTAGGGTCGACTACTACAGTTTGTTTCATAACCAGATCAAAAATAAATTGCGTAGTCAACGTTTTTAATCGCTTGAAGACGTGGTTGAAGCATTCAAATCTTTTGTTTCGGAGGTACCTCTTGCTAAGTGTCGAAAAAGTGTTTTTAACATTAGTTTCAACTAATGCAAAAGTGTATAATAGAGTTTAAAGGGAAATATTTTGAGATGCGATTTGTATAAAGTAATTTTGTTTTTTTTTTTACATTTTCCGCGGACTGTAGCAGTGCTCCTCACTAGTTAAATTGGTTTTCTTTTTAATTTATTTGGAAGAAAAAATAAAATTCGTTCAAGTTTTAATCAACAGTCAATTTAAGGTAAAAATTTTGCATTAAACTTACACATACTTTTAGATCAACAAAATATGTAAAATAATTTCAAGTATAGGTATATATTGTTTTATCTAATCCTTAGCAATTGAATAAATTAGAATAACCTTAAACGGATATATTGAAATAGTTGAACCATTAAAACTCGGCAGTTCTGTTTCATTCAATTATAAAGGATGTGCGAAAAATATCAGCTTTTTTCCGTTAACAAAATCACATGAGTAAATTATTTTTAATAGAAAACGGACATTGGTTGTCCACTTGAAATTACTTATTTTCTACTCTTAACGTTATTGGGGAAGGTATTTAGCAAATATTTTTTCGATATTGACTCTAGGGAAGTTATGAAGAATGGAAATAACTTGATTTACTAATATTCACAATTTCCACACAAATGTTTACTTTTTGGGATTACTTTTTGTTGATGTTGATAATCTTGATGTTGTTATAGCAAAGGGCTAGACTCTGGAGGGTTTTCAACATTTTTTTTAATTGGTATAGTTTGTCAGGCTTAATATTGTTACGCAGGTTCTCGGTATCTCAATTTATTTCAACTCCACTTTTACGATGAAAAGGTATATATTATATGACATTTTTTCTTCTTATCGTCTTAGTTTTGCAACCAAATAGTATATCCCCATTTATCATCGTGGGCTCCCCTACTATTAGTTCAACTGTTGATTATCAGATGATGCTAAATGAAATCATGCTAAATATCTGTACCTCAGAACGCAACATTAATCGAAATATATATCAGGGTCAAAATTTCAGTCAAATACAACAGGCAGATGATCCATAATAGTATATGGTACATATATGTATATCAGAGTCGATGTTTCATCCAAATACAACGGACATAATATATGATCCATAATAATATAAGGTATATAAGTGGACGCTCGTGGTAATTTAAAAAAGATGAATTTTTTTTCCTATAATTTTATCATTTGTAAATTCAGTTTTTTATAAATTCTCAACAACAGTACATTATTTATTTAAAAAAAAAAAAAACAAAAAAAAATTTAAATAATCCAAACAAATTTATGGAGAGTCGCGTAAAATTTAGAATATATGAAGGTGTTACTTTCCCATGCTGTAAGCCACTGGCAAAATTTATTTAAGTGATTTTTTGCTGATTGGTGTTTCTTATGACACCAAAAACGTTTGCTCGGTATAATTTGATAGAAAATTCCAAAATAACAAAATTAAAATGAAGAATATCCAAATATCCATCCTTGGGTGTGAATATCTCGAAAACCAATCACTTTATAAGTTCCCAACAAGAGTACATGATTTATTTAAGAAACATTAAAAAAAATCTAAAAATATAGTCTACATAAGTTTTTCGACAGTGGCGTAAAATTTACAGGGTATGAAGGTGTTACTTATATATGGAGTACGCCAACTATTTTGCTGATAGGTGTATCTTATGACACCAAAAACGTTTAGCAAATGTGTTACCAGCACCTGTTAAACGGTAAGCGATTTATTATAATAACCACATTTACGTGGTTTCTCCCTGTATTCTATCTCGATGGATATCTTGCAATTTTAGAAAATATATCGTTGGTTCTGTTAGTGTGTTGATTCCGTAAAAATTTCCTATTTTATGTACTCTGTTATTTTTTATCTTAATGTTTTCCTGGCAATCACTTATTTCGGTTGTTCCTGATATTTTGTTTTCATCGTGTCGATCCTCGTTTCGAAGGTGTACAGGGTGTTCCAAAATTCAAAATTCACTACAAAGCCGATCATCCAAATATAACTGCTCTACAAAAATATAAAAAAAATAAGTATAAATTAAAACATAGTCACCAAATATTGTTTCTAATTGTATCAAATGAAATCAGAACAAAACGAGAAAATTAAAATATTCATTAAAAGTGCACCTAAATACATGGTTTTTCCTATGTGTGGTCTTTAGAAATATTTGTTTGCTTGTTGGCGAATTTTAAATGTCTAATGAATGGTGACCCAGTCTGTATAAACAAGTAGTAACAAATTAGTAATTTAATTTTTCTTATTGACGTTCAAATAACAATAAAATATTTTTTAGAGATCTATCACTGAAGCAAGGAAAACATGTGCGGTCAGAGCCATTGTAGTTATAAATCCAGGAAATCCCACTGGTCAAGTACTTACCAAACAAAATATACAAGAAATTGTTAAATTCGCTCACAAAGAAAAGCTGTTCATCTTAGCTGACGAAGTATACCAACACAACATCTATGATCCAAACTCCGAATTTCACTCATTCAAAAAGGTAAGCAATAAGATTTTCATTTAAAAAAAAATCAGATTAAACCTGCACAAATGGTTGATAAAATAAATGATGGAGTCATCTCATAGATAATGAATCCATCATTTCGTCGACTTTTATTATCCTCATTTGCCAAATTGACATGGTAAGTGATCATTAAATATTTGGCATATTGCCCAAAATCTCCTTATCAATAAAAGATCTGCAATGAAATTTGTAATTTATTGAAAATATATTTGATTGGTACAAGAATATAAAAAAATAGGAAAATTACAAAATGCTGCAAATTTAAATTACAAATAAGATCTTATATTACGCACAAGAGCCGAAACAATGAGCATATCTATCAAAATTTTTAAAAATTAAATAATGTAACCCTGTAGTCATATCTAACCTCTTTTTTTGTTTTTTTTTTTATATACATTTTAATGCCTATTTGATCCATTTGCTACAAAACCACATTTTCTATATAAAATATCTGATAGGTCTACCACACGACCTTCCAGTAAAGTTATCAAATATGTTAAGTACGGTCCATCTAATAAAAAGTGTTTAAGAAAATGAATTAAAAATATAAATTTTCCACACCCATTGTATTTAATACATTTTTTCATATTTTTATTCATACTCATTCATTTTTTATATTGTAAAAATTGGAATTTTGCACGTTCCCCAAATTTCTCTAATACGGTTACTTTATGGAAATCATGTATATGATAAAAATGATAGAACATATCACAAATAACTCTTATTCAAAGACATTTCTTAGCCAATCATAAACATCAGAAATATATCTTGAGGTAGAAAAGCGATTCATTATAAAGTACCTCCCCTAGATGCTATGCCCCAAATCTAATCGGCTCATCGCAGGATGTATTAAAGCCTTAGTTTGCTGTTTTCATAATTTTCCGTTTTTTTTTTTGAGTTATCGTGGATACAGATTCCTATACTTTCCTTATTGGTTACTAAAAAATAAAAGCTTTTAATTTAAATAAACTTCTTTAGGTGATGCACGAAATGGGTGAACCCTACAGCCAAATGGAACTAGCCAGTTTTATGTCGGCTTCAAAAGGTTATATGGGCGAATGCGGTCTTCGTGGCGGTTATGCCGAAGTTCTTAACATGCATCCAGATGTCAGAGCACAGTACCTTAAAGCCATCACTGCCATGTTGTGTTCCACAACTTTAGGTCAAGCTTGTTTGGACGTTATTATGAATCCCCCACAAGAGGGAGAACCTAGCTACGAGTTGTATTTAAAAGAAAAAACATCAGTATTGGAATCACTTAAGGTAGGTATAATTGTTTGTAATTAACTACAGTCATGAATACTGTTTCTCCAATTTCACATCAAAAACTAGCGTGATGCTGATAAAGTACTGGAAAAAGTTTAAAGTCTCTTCCAATAGCAATTGATCATTTTCAATCCTTGCCAACTATATAAATGAAAATTCCCAAACACATATCCCAATTGTTAAGCAAAAAGTTAAGGAGGTCCTTTCGCCACCCCTTTCGCCACCAATGTTAAATAAAAAATATTAGATTATGACTAAAATTTATTTTTTTTTCTAATAGTTGAAGTCCTTATTTATCTAATAGTGAACTTTTAACTATACCTTACCGCGCAAATTTTTGAGAATTTTTTTTTTAAAAATGTGAGTATTTGTACAGTGTCTTACGAGAAAGTAAGACCTCCACAACAATTCTCGAATTATACTGTTATTTATTGATTAGATGGAGTAGAAAAAAACTAAAAATAAGGTTTTTGAAATATTTAGGTTTTGTTTTTTACAATAAAATATATAGGTTACCGTGGAATTTATTGAGAAATTAATATTAAAAAAATTTCAAGTAACCTAGTTGAAATTTTTTTGTGATTTTTTAATATTAATTTCTCAATAAATTCCACGGTAACCTATATATTTTATTGTAAAAAACAAAACCTAAATATTTCAAAAACCTTATTTTTAGTTTTTTTCTATTCCATCTAATCAATAAATAATAGTATACTTAATTATAATTCGAAAATTGTTGTTGAAGTCTTACTTTCTCGTAAGACACTGTACAAATACTCACATTTTTAAAAAAAAAATTCTCAAAAATTTGCACGGTAAGGTATAGTTAAAAGTTCACTATTAGATAAATAAGGACGTCAACTATTAGAAAAAAATTAATTTTAGTCATAATCTAATATTTTTTATTTAACATTGGTGGCGAAAGGACCTCCTTAATTCATCTTTCCAGGTTTTCATGAAGAATTGCACTTTATCATCTAATATATACAGAGTAGTTCACAAACGTATTTCTGAAGGTATCTGTAAGTTACAAACCAGTAAACTATAATAGTGTCTTAATAGAGTTTGGCATTATTTCAAAAACTGTTATTTAATTACTGATATTTTAAATATCGGTAAGCACACATTCTTTACAATATTATGTTCTATCGATTTCATAAATATTTTTCAGAAAAAATTTAATTTTTTCAAATGTAAGTAATATAGTCCAAGCCCTTGATCCAATTCTTGAAAAAAAAAAAAATCATCACCATATAAGTTATATTTTTACCATCACTTTAAAGGAACCTCAAATTTATTCAATAAAGTACACTATTACGATTTTAAAAATGCAGAGTATGCCGATATTAATAATTATCTTTGCAGTATTGATTGGAAAAATCATCCTAATCTGTCAAACGTGGACGATGCAGTATCATAATTTTACAATATACATACTTAATATGTCTCTGTCTTTATTTGTACCAGTTAAGCGATTCAAAAGAAAATTGTTCATAAAAAATACTCAACTATTCGCGACCAAAATGATTATCAGACTTTTTAATTTTTTAGACGAATATCTACGTAAAAACTTATCAAATCGAGGTCATAAAGATTATTTGAATCTCATAAATAATAGTTTATATAGTAATCCAAAATATTTCTGGGAATACATTAGGAATAAGAGATCTTCAAATGATTTACCAAACTCTATGTTTTATGGAGATACTTCAAAAATGGAGAAAATCAAATTGCTAACATGATTTCTTCTCTACAGTTTACTCACCCGAAACTTCAACTGATTATGAATATAATTCTAGTAACAGTAATGTTTATCATAATATACCAAAATTTTCAGTGTCAGTTGAAAGTATTTTTTATAAAATCTAAACTTTACCTGATTGACTTAGCAGTGGACCAGATGGCTTTCCTGATTTATCTCCTTTTTAAATCATCTCCTCTGGAAACTTATGTTGTATCTTCTTTATGGAAGCACACTTACATAAGTCCAGTATTTAAATCAGGAAACAAAGAAGACATAACAAAATATCGTAGTGTTTGTAATCAATCGCCTCTCCCTAAACTTTTGGACAGTCTTGTGAGCGACCAGTTAAAATCTCATTGCAAAGAGAGATTGATAAGTAGAGAGCGGAATATATGCAAAATGCATATATATGCATTTTTTGCATATTTTACCAAAGTTCAGAAAATATTGCATATTTTTCCAAAATTCAGAAAATATTGCATATTTTACCAAAGTTCAGAAAATTTACTGTGCAAATCAAAAACTGTTTTAACAGATTATACAGATATATTTGAAATAAAGACCTTTTAAATTTTTGTATTTGTTTTTAAATGTCACTTCTTGTAAATTCTCGTTAATTAGTTCTTGGAGGGTGGCATGCACTGGGTTTTTACCTTCTTAAGCGATTAAGCCCATTAAGGTAATTATTAATAGATGGTATTTACACAGATAAAGTATTACATACAATGCAATAAAACGGTTTATATAAAATTCTCAGTAATTTCTTGTAACCAATCTACCCTAACATCGGAATATTTTGAATGTTTTTCATTCAGTTTAATGAGATAGTATCCTCGTTATTTGCCTAGTGAAAAGTTTTGTAATAATTTGTTGTTTTAAAAGTGTCCTAAAATGTCGAGAATTTCTTCGTGGATTATTAACTTTCCAGAGTTGGAAATCAATGGGGATAAAGTTTTTTGTAAAGCTTGTGCCAAAATAGTGGTTTGCGAAAAAAGTTCAAAGTGGTTCAACACGTGAAAACATCATTGCATAAAGCCAAATTGCAAAAAATGAAATCACAACCGGTTCAACAATGCGTTGTGAGGTCATTTCAAAACGCCGACAAAACAAAAAGTGACAAGGAGGTATTTAATCAGGACTTGTGCAAAGCTCTTGTTGCGGCAAATATTCCATTAAAGAAGTTACAAAACCTACATCTAAGAGAATTTTTACAAAAATATTGCAATCAAACCATTCCTGACGAATCTACAATGTACATGCTATATATATAAATATAATAGAAGAAATTAAAGTTTTACTGGATGATAGCAATTTTTACATCATTGTTGATGAAAGCACAGATGCTTGTGGAAGATATATGGTACATCTTATGATTGGAGCCTTAAAAGAAAATGAACCAGGTACATCATATTTAATTGCATCAAAACAGTTAGAAAAAACTAACAATACAACTGTTACCCGATTTATTCAACAATCTGTAGCAGAATTTTTTTTTACCAAATCAAATTCCCTCAGAGAAGTTCTTAGTGTTTTTGTCTGACGCAGCACCATATATGATAAAAGTAGGGCAAAACTTAAAAATATTTTATCCAAATATGATCCACGTTACTTGTCTTCTGCATGGAATAAACTTAGTTGCAGAAACTGTGAGAACAGAATATCCCTTGGTTAACAAGCTAATTTCGAATGTGAAAAAAATATTTTTAAAAGCCCCTTTAAGAGTGCAGTTGTATAAAGAGAGAATGGTAGGGGCGTGTTTGCCCCCGGAACCCGTAATTACGCGATGGGGGACATGGATTAAAGCAGCTATATTCTATGCAGAAAGCAATTAAGGATTTAATTTTGGATATAGAAGACAATTCACAAAGTAAAGAATTGTTAAAAAATCCCCTTGTACCTAAGCAACTTGTGTTTATAAAGGTTAATTTTAGTTTTTTACCTGATGTAATAACTTCATTGGAAAAGAAAAATTTAAGTTTAATCGAATCAACAAATTTTATTGCAACAGTTTCCGATAAATGTAACAATGTTCCTGGTGACATAGGCTTAAGATTAGAAAAAAATTAAATACAACTTTATTAAAGAATGAAGGGTTCAATGAAATAAGGGAAGTGAAAAACATTTTTGAGGGAAAATTTTCCAAAGAAGTTTTACGTTGGCCCTGTACATTACTTCCAAAATTACGGTATTGTCCTATTACTTCGGTAGATGTTGAAAGGACCTTTTCTATATCAAAACATATTTTTACAGAGAGAAGACAAAAATTTTTAATAGAAAATTTCGAAAAATATTTAATTATAAATTCCTATTATAATATTACTATTTAATATTTTTATACTATTTTATACTTAACTTCTACTAGTTTTTATGTTTCGTTTGTTTTAAATAAATTTTTATATTACATATTTTCTTTTGTTTTTTTTTTCGTGTAATGGCTTGGATAGCGTACCAAATTAGGAACAGCAATGTTAATTAGAACCCAACAGTGAATGGTCAAGTGGAAATATTCGCTAGGCATCAGAATTAATTTTTAAATAAATTAATTAATTTAAAAAATCGCGTCCCGGCTGGAATTTGAACCCGGGACCCCTAAGTCCACAGGCCAACGCACTAACCACTGAGCTACCCACCCCCTACTTTTTTTAAAGTATTTTTAACAAATATGCATGTGTATATTTAGGCATAATTGGACAAAATAACTGCATATTTTTGGTAAAAACGATGCATATATATGCGCATATTTTGTTATATTTTGATGCATATATTCCGCCCTCTATTGATAAGTAATCAACATGGCTTTTCTAAAAACAAATCAACTGTTATTAATTTATAAATTTTTGAGCAAAAAATACTATTAGAGAAAAAGGTTAGTAGGAAGCGATTTATACTGATTTCTCCAAGGCATTTGATAAAGTACAGCACAACACCATAGAAAAACTAAGACAATTTGGCTTTCCTTTTCAGTCTTTAGATTGGTTCAAAAGTTTTTTTTAACCGGTTGCACACAAGTGAGAATAGGCAGTAAATCAAATTCTATTAAAGTACCGCCTGGAGTACCGCAGGAGCTCTTTGTTCACCTTTGCTGTTTAACATATTTGTCATTGATATTATAGATGGCTTAAAATACATGGAGAGTTTAATATTTGCTGATGATTTTAAATTTTAATTTAAAAAATTGTTCAAAAAACAAATTTCATTTGAAGTGTTGTTTTATAAGTTTTTATAAAATAATAAAAAATAACACTCATTACTCAATATACGAAGATCAACTATCTTATATTACATTGATAAAGGACTTGGGAGTTGTGTTTGGTGAACAATTGCGTTTTGTGGAGCATATAAACGACTTACAGTGGAATCCTCTAGGATTTTAGGCTCTGTTTTACGAAACTGTCGTGATTTACCTATCTGGGCTATAAGAATAGTATATTTTTCCTTAATTGTTTCGAAACTATAATACGCAGCTATTGTATGGTTTCCGCAATATCAAAATCACTGCACAATACTAGAAAGAGTTCAGAATAGGTTTTAAAGATACTGTACTTTCAGATTAAATATAGATGTCACTGATCATGATTATACAGCGGTATTAAGAACTCTTAACATGGATAAGTTAAGTAAAAAACCAGAAAATTCGGACTTAGAATTTGTTTTTAAGCTTTTACACGGTCTAATAAATTGTTCTGAGCTTCAGCCAGGAATTTGAGACATTCAGAACTTTCTATATCAATTTTCATTATACAAACTATGGCACACATTCTCCTATAGATCCTACGTTAAGAAAAATAAATAATAATGAAATCGAAATCCTTAAATTTAAAAATCAATTAAAAAAAGACTGAAAGTTTTGTAATTAATATTTTCGATTAACATTATTTTTTTTCTCTGTAATTATTATACTTTTGTTTATTTGTGTTGCGATATATTTTAATGTGGTTTTTGTTTAGTCAATAAGTTGTATTTAAATTGTTATACTGGAAATTTTTGTAATGGGGGTATTCCCGTAAATAAATAAATAAATAAAAATAAAATCAAAAATATTTTATAGGAAGCGCCTTCATACTTATAGTTTCTAGATTCAATTGAAAAATCCTGATCAATTTAATAGCTGAATCAAAAAACTACCTCTGCAAGTTACAACGCGTCTTTATAGTATAAAGTATTTCATGTGAATGTTCCTCAAAAAGAAATGAAAGTTTTACATTCGTATTCACAAAGTATTTTTAAATAGTTACCTACTTTAAACAGAAGCATCAACGTAATTCAGAGAAAAGGTAGAGTTGGACGATGACGTTATTTTGACTTGCACTTTGAATCGTTACTGTGATTTATTAACGTAAAATAAATCTGATTATATTTCACCAAATAATTAACAAATTAAATATTGTTAATATTTTTCTGGAAAACATTTATAAGGTCGATAGAAAACCATATAAAGAATATCAATTTATCAAAATTAAAATAATGATACAACGGACTGTGAAATATCGTCCAACTATAATAGTGATGACTTAAAATTTACCCGTATGCAACTTAACGTTTAAAGATCGTTTGTGAATTAGGCGGTCAATCTTTTATTTCAAATCAGAAAAGTATTAAAAGATTAACGTGTAAACATATTCGTTATTTTAGGTAAGAGCAAAAATGGTAGCCGATACGTTCAATTCCATGGAAGGTTTTAGTTGTAATACTGTACAAGGAGCCATGTACGCTTTCCCTCAATTTAAATTACCCCCCAAGGCTATTGAAGCAGCTAAAGCCAAAAATCAAGCTCCCGATGCGTTTTATGCTTTCGAACTCTTGGAATCAACCGGAATCTGTGTGGTACCCGGATCAGGATTCGGACAAAGGCCTGGAACACACCATTTCAGAACAACAATTCTTCCTCAAACGGACAAACTAAAGGACATGTTGGATAAATTTGCCGAATTTCATGCTCAATTTTTGAAGAAATATAGTTAAACTGTAATCAAATTTGAGTATGTTAATAACTGTGATCAATATATTTTTGTCTTATAGTGGCATTTGGCAAATGATTTTAGACATTGAGCCCATTCGTTTTAGTACCAAAATAGTTTCTTAATAGCGAAATGCAGTTAGGCCATTCTTACGGCAAGTGGCAGTGACATTTGACAAGCAATGTATGTTTGATAAATGACAAGTGCACCTTGCAGTGATAATAACCACTGTACGCTTGTCAAATTTCTTATTTTTAAATTATTTTAATGTGTTCAATCGTAATGAGTTATTTAATCTATTGATTTTTATCTTAAATTTTATTGTGTACTATAAATTATTGTTTACAATATTCTTAAGATAAGACAATTTTTAAAGTATTCAATATAATATATATGTAGAAAATTTGTTCATTGTTGAATATATACATATGCAAGAAATGTTTCTTGTTTTTTTACATACGTTCCAATAGATTTTGTTGTGTATATAACCGTGTAACCATACAACATTATGTACAAAAATACAGCAATTCAATAAATAATCGATGAAAATATAGAAAAAAAAAAAAATACAGTAAAACTGATTAAATGTGCAGTAGTAGTATACAGAATTTATTCAATGGGTACAAATTTTGACGAAACCTATATAGATATTAAAAGAGGTTCGTTTGTCTAAATTCAACTGCATTTATCTATATTTGCTTGCTTTTTTTTGAAAAACAATTGTCTACTTTTTAACGATTTAGGCTAGACAGAATCTTTTTAGTAATCTGCCGATTTTCATTTCAATCGGGAAGAAATATTTTTGGATAAATTTTCTTTGTCTAATTTGGTTAAAACTTTGTTTGGAAAAGTTACTTTTGAAACGTAGTGTAAGAGTGGTGTCTGTTACTCAATATTTACATATTTACAATCGTTCAAGAGTTGGAAAAAGTTGTTCTGATTTGGACGAAATCTTATATACAGATATTGAAAGACAAGTTTATGTAAACTCAATTGCAGTGCTCTAAGTTTGCTAGTTTTCGTGAAACAACCATCTATTTTTAAGCAATTTAGGCTAGACAGAAACGAATTTCTTTTTGGTTTAGAAGGCATGCAATTTTCAACTCAATTTTGTGTTATTTCCAAAAATTGACCATGTATTTCAACATTAATATTTGATTTTTCTCGAAAACGGTCGACTTTAGGGCGTATGACCAAGAGTACCTTTTTTGTGTAGAAAACATTGGCGGTTCAAATGGGCGTCTCAAAACCGTACTTTTTTCAGTGGCGCAGAATTTTTTTTTGCAATTTCAACACCCTGTATCTCGAAAATGGTGCATTTTAGAGGGTAAGTTAATAGAAACGTTTTTTCATATTTTTGGACGAGCTATCACGTTCTGAAGTCCTGCGCACCCTGTATACAATAAAAAAAAATTAATATGATTTAACAAAAATAACAAATATTAAATAAAGTGGTGCGAAGCGAATACTTATAAAAAAATTCAGGTAATAATAACAATACCAATACAGCTCATAAAAAATGAATGAATGAACAGAGGAAGCCACACCGAGTACCGGACATCCAGAAAATGAGAATCTAAGGATAAACTTGACAGCTTCCCAGGCACTGTATGTCAGGTAGGTAAGCAATAAGCTTGCCTCGTCATGTATGATTTTTTCTTTTCATAACAAAAAAAAGGAAGAAAAAAAAAACAAGTAAAAATGTTATAACCCAGAAAATATTTCCACACCTTTTAGCTGAACAAGACATTTCAAAAGCAAGTGATAGTTTTAAGGTAAGTATATGAATATTCAATTTTATTATAGAATTTTAGTTTGTTTCATCTTTTTCTATATTTTTTTTATTTTCTTTTATTTATTTTTTATTTTAATTGCTACAGATTATATCTATAGTTTCTTTTAAAATCCATTTCGCAATAATAGTTTTAAAGTTTTTATAATAAATTTTTGATTTAAGTTCTTGAGGCAGTGAATTATAAACTTTTAATCCGACGTATGAATAACTGCATTGCGAGAGGGTTGTTCTACATTTCGATAAGATAATCTTATTGTTTAGATGAAATCTTGTGTTATATTGGCGGCACATAATATTTATTTCCTTTGTATTTACAAGTTGAATCAAAGCTTGTTTATAATACAATATTCTTATTCGCTCCGTGCGAAGTCATGGAAAGGGAAGCAAAAGCGATACTAGCGCTAGCTGCGGATAATTCGTGCATTTTAGGGGGATATTTTGTAATTTTGGCATATCAAATACACGTATACATTTTACTTTTTTTCAAAAAAAGTAGGTAAAAACAATACAATAAGCAACCGGAGTTACTGTGTTGAAAATTGTACAAATACTAGCAATAAAAACAGTGAAACTTATATAAAAAATTTCAGTAGCAAAGTGGAAATTAAATTAAAGAAATGAATGGATAGATATACAATAAGAAGGAAAATTACCTTTATTTTTGTAATAATAACCGTAATGCTGCAAATAGTAGACATCAGAAACTTGAAAGGTTTTAAATCAACAATAGATTATCATTTTACCATGTTCTTTAATATCCCTTATTCTTAAATGTTCATTCAGCAAGGACTAGATTTCAAGATTTCTGCCTTTGATTATTATATGTGGTTGGAACGCAATTTTGTAAATTACTGATAGGAAATCAGTTTTAATCATTCATTCTATGTTTTCTTTCGAACAAAAATGAATATATAAGTAATGATCCTTTTTTATACATTTTAACTTCACGCTATTATTAAATGGTATTTTTGTATTTTGACAGAATAGACTAATTCTTCAATGAAAACTTATTAGACTTAGGCAACTTCTCATACATTTTCCTGTAAATACTGTTGCCTGCCTATATTTTATTATGGATTTTTATCAATTATACATAATTTTCTTTAATTTAAGCGATAAAAATATATAATAATAATAAATTAATGTTTTACTTGTTTTACAAATCCATATACTTTTATTAAAACTAACATGTATACTTTTTAATTACGAATTCTATTAAAAGTTGCATTTGTCAGTATACGCCGAAATCCCCCATTAGTATCAAAACGAATTGGCGCTGCTGTCGCGCACGGAGCGAATAGTTAATAATAATAAATAGCTGTAAGTGAAAAGTGCTTCAATGGGAAATCGTAAATTTAATTTAAATATTAGTTTAATCAGACGTTTTTGAATTACCACTAAAGGTTACAAAGTAGTAGTGTAAACTCCTCCCCATCCAATTATCCTGTAATTTAATATAGATTGAACTAGGGCGTAGTAAAGTGAAATAAGATCACGCTCACTAAGTATTTTTGAGGTTAACTTAAACATATATAATTTTTAAAGGATTTAAATTCGCTAAGATATTTTTAAAATTATAGAATGGAAGATATACAAGACAGTGAAATAGTTAAAAAAACTGCTTTCAGGCGCCATTTTTCCTATATGGTGTCGCGAGTGGCAAATATACGAGGTGGCAAATCTGAAATTCGGAAAGAGCACATCAAAATCTATAAAACTACCCATTTTCAAAACTCCCAGAAAACATTCTGTAAAAATACCAAATGACAACTACAAAGACACTACATCAATATGCTTCATGGACGGAGGTATATAAATAAAACTTATGGTTATAAACAACTTTTATATTTTCTGTAAAACAGACAAATTTTGCTCCCAGAATATTTACACAAAGTTACATTCATTTGCAACAAGACCATAATGAATATTTATTAGAGACGCGGGTTAACCTGTGCTGTAAGTACGTTACATGTCTAGTCTACAAGCACTTTCAATCGTTATCACGCACATAAATATTCGTTATTATCAATAAAATCATAGAATTAAATAACAATTCAATAAAATTTAAACTAAAATAAACAGCATCTCTGATCTTTCAAAAAAAAATTGCAATATTAACAACGTTGGACGGTGTTTTTACTTTACTACACATAAGTGGAATGTTAAAAAAGGAATTATTTTCAGTTTATATTATATAAATATCAAAAAAGTTTTCGGCTAAGAAAAATGCAGATTTTAGTGTTTTTTTTAGGCTTTTTTTAAATTATTAGATTAAATCCAGAATTAAAGCACAAACAATTTCATAATGATAGTAATGACAGAAAAAATAAGTACCAAAGAGATGCAATAGCAAAAATAGCTACTCTGAATAGACTACCAGGATCAACTATATTTTATAATGAACCTATCAATCCCTCACCAGCAGTGGATTTAGTAGATTGTTGTTACTGGAGAATATTTAAAAAATCAAAGTAATAGAATAAATGATATTTCTTTTCTGAAAACCGTTCTAATATTTAAATCTAACATATTTTACAATGAGATGAATTTATTAGAATATTTACACATATATTGGAAGATTATGGTTTTTTATTTCATTCATAAGAATGGAACTAGACATTTTTTCGCATGCAATCGTTTCCTTGCAATTTAACATGGCACGTGATATCCAAAACTAACTTTCCCCTAGTTCCATCTAATGAACATATTTTCTCACTACTATCTCAATAAAAAAATATATTTCTCAACATCGACTTAACCATAAACATTGAAAAAATAAATTATATTACTGACTAAATATCTTGTAATTTCACTTTTATAGTATTATACAGATATTCTAATCGAATCGGACCCGTTGAAGAAATTAAAAATAAAAATAAATACGAAATTCTTGCGAGTTTATTGAAAATAATTCTTAATAAAGGTTTTCCAAAATCTGTAGATATGTTTTAGTTCTTATTGTTGGTATCAGCAACATGTACAAGTACATAAGAGGTTTTACCTACTCACTAGTTTTAAATCAAACCTTTGAACAACTGTTTGCTTGAAAAGATTCAGCAAAATCAAAAGAGCATATTTAAATTTGAGTTATATACACGCGAACAAGTATCTAGTAAAAGTTATATGGATTTAAAAAAGGTATATTTTAAAAATATATTATGCTCCTGCTTTTCAAATAAAAAAAAATTGAACAGCTTTTATTTTAGTTTCAAAATGACCTGATTTTAGTGTATTCATAGTATTCGACCCTAAAATATTTTTGAACAATATTACAGGGTTGCCAAGCAATTATTTTTTTTGTAAAATTAGAGAATAATGCGGACCCCAAATAAAATTATTTTTTTTTTTTATTTGGTGTACGGCTTCAACATCTAAGGTCATTAGCCTAGTGTTCTAAATAAATTAATTTTTGAAATCTGTATAATTTTTCTTTTTATTAAATACTGGTTGGTTTAGTTTCTGGAGGCGTTATTGTCATAAATTCACAGTAAATTTAACGCCCTGTAGATAGTTATGCATAACAGATTTAATTATATTTTCACATCGGCAAACATGTTTAATAGACTTCATATTTTCATATTTTTTTTTGCATTTCTCAATTTTTTCAAATTAAATACCCTGTATTTAATACCACCAATTAATTAATTTCTTTACTTTTTGTTTATAGACTACACTGTATATTTAAGAATAATTTTATAATATATGGATATAAATAGTAGATATAACTTTTATATACAAAATCTCGTCATAATAATAAAATAGTTATCGATCATTGTTCGATAGGTAAATTTAAAAATATACAGGGTGTTGTATTTGAAAAATTGATTAAATTGAACTTAAATGAGCCACTTTTATGATAGGTTTCAAGACAATTTGAATATAATGAAACATTTTTATTTGATAGCTTGGTACCTTATTATTGTAAGTATATAACTAACATTTTTAAAATAATTTCTAACCTACCTAAATTATGATTATGGTTATCGTAGATTTAATATTAAGTTGTTGACACTCAATTTTGTAAATGAAATCGTTAATATTTTTTATTTGTTGTACAAACTGCATGGTATATTTGATGAAAGGGGAGTACTATGTAGTACAAAATGTAAACTACTGGTTTAGAAATAAAATGATCTACACATTTTGGAGGACAATTTACCAAAAAGATAATATCATTACTTTCTTACATCCTTTAGGTATAATGTGTAAAAACTTCAGTAATCAGAAACGTGTATGTACCGCTATTTAAAAAATAAATCGGTGAAAAAATTATTATTAGTGAAAATATATTTTATAAATGCTTAAGTAGTAAGATATAAGTAGCAATTGGTTTTCTTATCTACAATTTCTTAGAAAATTATAGTTAATAAAGTAGGTATACCCCCAAAAAGAGCAAAAAACTACGTCAGCTAACAAATTTGCCATTATTTGCAAATTTCTCATTAATACTGCAGAGCTGCAATTCAAGCCCGGAAATAAACAACCGCGATTCAAAAACCTAGCTGTCTGAATTCAAAATTTTCGTATTTATTTTTTTAATTAACCGCTCGGCCAGGCCTTAAAAAAGCTCATTTTTGATATTATCTATTATAGTCGAGTGTTATGTTAAAAATTGGGATTTTTATTTGATATCAGCAGTCTTCTTCTACTAGTTTTTGGGTGTCTTTACCCGTGTCTTGTTGCGCGGGATCCAATTCTCGATGTCTTACTTGGACGTTCGGAGATGACATGTGTTTGACACTTGAGGGAGCGATCACAGCGCTCGGCGGTTCAAGGAATGTATCACCTTTTGGTTTGGGGAAGTCCGATGAAACTTCGTACAAAGCTGAAAAGAAAGGCATATTTTTACAAGGTGAATATTTATTACATTGTTTTCATCAGTTTATCATGGGTTCAGAACCTTTTTTTTGCTAAATAACACTGGTTTAAATGTCTATCTTGTCAAAGTGTTTTAGTAAAAAAATGTCTGTATAAAGAGTTATTTGTGTACCAAGATCGTAAAGTTAATCTTTTTTTCGGCCGAATCAGAAATTTACGGCCAAACCGAAGGTTTAACCAGAAGTTACTTTTTATGGTTAAACCAAAAAAATCATGCGGCTGAGATACACATAATATATTTAAGCGACTGTCTTATCAAAATTAGATCCTCCATTCTTATTCTTAAAAAGAGACCTAAATGCAAGAATAGTTTTAAATTTTTATTGATCGAATAAATAACCTATTGTTAAATAATAAAATTTGTACAGAATTATTAACGTATGATAAAATTTGTGTTCATAAAAAGTGGCCGTAAAGTAAATGCGGCCAAAAAAGTGATACTTTAAAGCGGCCGTATAGTAAATATGGCCAAAAAAGTTATACTTTATGGATATTAATAAATCTGTAAAATGTATTTTTTTTTAGGTTTACTCATAAAGGAGTGTTAAACAAGAGACTAAAAATCATGAATAATAGAAACAGTTCTGAATGATTTAGTTCTATAAAATTAAAACAATGGGCCCGTTCACTTTTGTTTTTGAATGTGAATTATTTATATATTTATAAAGATATTAAACTCTTTTGTCTGGTGGTACTTTTCCCGTTAAGATATTTTTGCTAGAAGTAAGGGAATTCCCATAAAATTCTTTCAGTGACTCATTGCGTCAGAAAACCCCTAATTCCCTTCAGGTCTCGTATCGGTTAATAGTTAAAAGGGCGCAGTTGTCGGATGTATGATTGCACCACCATTCCTCTTCTGCATTTATTAAAGAAATTTACATGATAAAAATATATTATTTTTAAAAAATAATGTGTTTATATTTTCAGATAAAGCTGGATGCCTTACCTTTTTTAAATTTTAATAAAAACAATTAGTATTACTCAAACTGAATATTACCAGATCGAAATTTTATTTGAGAAAATGTATCTGGTAAACGTGACAACGTTGTAAGTACTTCTAAATAATGTTGTCTACACACACTTCTAGAAATAAATGCAAAGTTGCCACGTTTACCAGATAAATATTGCAAATCAAATTTCTACTTTTTGATTATGGTCTGGTTAATTTTCAGCCTGAGTAATAATAATTGTTTTAATTAAAAAGTAAAAAATAAGATCCCAGCTTTAAATCTGAAAATATAAGTTCATGATTTTTAGAAAAATAATGGAATTTTACTATTTAAATTACATATAAATGCAGAAATGCTATATTAGGGATACTTCCGACAACCTCGCCGTCTTTGAGCATAACCGATACGAGACGTGAACGGAATTAGGGATTTTCTGACGCAATGAGTCACTGAAAGAATTTTATGGGAATTCCCTTACTTCTAGCAAACATATCTTAACGGGAAAAGTACCACCAGACAAAAGAGTTTAATATCTTTATAAATATATAATCAATTCACATTCAAAAATGAAAGTGAACGGGCCCATTTACGTACCTCCACTACCGTTAGGTATGGCTTCAGGATTATTCTGTACAGCATCATACATGGGATTATGGAAATCTCTATTCTTAGCATTGGCGCTCATTGCATCTAGACTATAGGATACATCTACAGGTTCTGAAGGTCCTCCTCCATTATTGAATGAATTTGGACCAAACTCCACATTGGTTCCCTGCCTAAATGACACGCTCTGGCTACTGGCCAAGCTTCCTAAGGCAGATCCTTTTCCACTAAAAAAAAAAAATTAATATTAGCAAATATAAATTAATGAGGATTTGTGTACTTACAATGGTCTCTTTCTGATAAATATGTACACTCCCAACGCAGCACCCAGAATCAATAAAAGAACAACAATAGAAACCACGACAGCCGTGGTACTGGTGACTTCTCCAGCTCGACTATGTTCGGAGTGAATCTCACAAAACTCTCCATGATAGTTGGGCAAACACCTACACTGTAGCTCATTGCTGTCATCTGCTTCTTTGCATGTACCACCATTTTCACATTTACAAATTCTCGGTAAAGGCCGCTCGCGTTCAGCTGCTGCATCACAGATTATATCTGCTTTTATCTTTTGACTAGCTACCGACGAATCTGGACACGAACATCTATGGCCCTGTGGGACGAGCAGACAAAGGTGGGAACAGTGGTTGTGGGTACATGGATTTTGTAGCGACGTATTGTATTTGAGGTCATGGTATACTAAAAAAAAAAGATAAATTATTATTATACATAAGTAGAACTCGAAATATTCAAATTAACGTGAATATTACACAACTATAAAATACAGTAGATAGCAAAATTTAAAACTTCCTAAAAATGAGACGTCCTATCAAGAAAAGCTTTAGCTTGAATACAATTCTTTATACTGCATTTTTTATTGTATGTAGTTAAGTATAGTTTCTGAAAATCAGCACAATAAATCTGGAGGCGTTTTGACCGTGGACCTTCAGGGATAATACTCAGAATGTCATAGGTTAAGGTTTTCAGATGTATGAGAAGACAAAAATAAACTACTGCAAAGAGACAAAAACTGCTCATCTGGGTCGTATCTTTCGTGAAAATATATAACCTGCTAAAACTGAGAAGGGGAAATAAATTGAAACTCGACGAACTCAGTTCATGGTTAAAGAATATCAAAGATGTAGTAGTAGAAAAGGCTTTATGGCATATAATGAGGCCCTAAAACTTTATGTTGCCACGATATGTAAATGATTGAAGGCCCATCGGAAGTCTAGTATATGACAACCGAGATATATTAGATATATTAGATAAGTGAGAGAGAAACAATCTGATATTAAGGACAATTTTTCATAGACTTACAATCAATTTCAAGAACGTTCATTATAATGTTCGAGCCTATAAACTGACAGATGTTTAGACTGTGAGTAATTTGAAGTTCATATTATTGAGACAGATCAAGCTCTGTCAACGTTCATCGGGCTTATAAATTTTAATAAGGGTTGTTGCAACCGACTGCTAAGTATGTCCAAAGAAATCATTTGCAATATATTAGCTGTAGAAGCCTTATTGAAAGAATTGACAATTAAAGGATAGCGAAGAAACCAATAGAACGAAGTTACATGACAAGGAATTAATAATAACGAACTGGATAAAGAATGAGCAAGAATAATTATATGGATCAAAAACGAATAAAGTGAATGGCACCTATATGACTAGTTTTTAGAGGTTATGGCATCAGATAGATATCGAATCACCCAAAAATAGGATTGGTCACCCCAAAGACAGCTTTCAGCCTTGGAAGAACTTATAAGCCGTTGAGAAGATAAAAATTATGTTAACTGTGTTGGGAAAACAAATGATGATCATTGACTTATACACGATGACAACGGTGATTTAAAGGCCTAAACACAGCCACAGGTGAAAATTAAACAAGACATTATAATAACAAAGATAGAGATGGAAGAGTTGTCAGAAAATTTAGTAGATATTCTGAGTAACCTGGAAAATTGATGAGGTTTTCAATTCATAAAAAAATGTTGAATAAAAACAAATATAGGTAAAGAAATTATCACATTCTTAATAGTTATTTTTACCTTTAACACTTGACGGATTTTGCATATCTCTTTGTATGGTAACTGGTACTCCTCTACCAAACTTATCCTGCTTAATCAATTCTCCCGTATTCTTAGTTATCCAGTACATGTTGGATTCGAAAACATCTAGCGATATCGGATGCTTCAACATATCACCTCTAATAACGATTCTTCTATTGGTTCCGTCACTTTTCATACTTTCGATTATGTTCAATTTAGTATCTACCCAGTAGATTGTGTGATCCATGGCAAAGTCTATGGCTAAACCGGTCGGGTGACGTATTTCTTCGGTTACCAGAGGTTGACGTTTCGATCCGTCCATCCAAGACACTTCGATCTTGGGCGTCGAACCGGAATCGGTCCAGTACATTTTTCCTAATTGCGGATCTACTACTAGAGAAGAGGGATTTTCTAATCCTACGTTAACTAAAGATCTTCTGTAGCGACCGTCCGTTTTAGCGACCATGACTCTTCCTTTGGGCTTAGCGCTTCTGTCTATTTCCGTCCAGTAGAGATTATTGGCTACCCAATCTACGGATATAGATATCGGTTTCGAATTACCTTTAATATCTAGGTCTTGAGCAAATCCAGCCTTAACGTCACCGTTCAAAGCATTAACCATGTACGATCTCTTAATAGTTTTCTGTCTACTATCAGCCCAGAAGATCATTTGGGTTGTGGGATTGTAATCTACGGCATCGATGCGTTGTTCTTCCGTGATAACGCCTTCGACGTCTCTTAATTTCAGTTCGAACGAACGTATCTCGCCTCCGTTCGCCACCAATAGAGTGATATCTTCTTTTTCCGCTTTACAAACGCCTGATAGATGATCGGATAGTTGGAAACCTGCTCTGCAAGCGCATCCGTAAGTGCCGTTTAGATTGATACAAATTTGCGAACAGTGATGAGCGCCCGTGGCGCACTCGTCCACGTCCAAACACACTTTTCGGTTCTCCTTGGATATGATGAAACCGGAATAACAAGCGCAGATGTAACCGCCGTCCGTTAAATTCATGCAATGGTGTTCGCAGCCTCCTCTAGTGGCGTCGGAACAAACGTCGTTATGATGACAACCGAGTTCGTCGGAACTATCGCCGCAATCGTCGGCAAAGTCGCAAACTTGTTTCTTGTCGATACAATTCCTATTCGCGCATTTATATTCCGTCAGAGCGTCGCAAGCTTTCATTTTCGTAGCGCATAACGTCATGTTATTTTCATCGGAACCATCCCCGCAGTTGTCGATTCCATCGCAAAGTTGGTATCTAGGTATGCATTTATGATTGGTGCATTGGTATCTTTTCAGAGTGTCGCAGTTGAAGTTGGTGCATAGAAGCGGTGATTCATCTGATGCGTCGCCGCAATCGTCAGTTCCGTCGCAGAGATCCGCCTGACTGACGCAGAGGTGGTTTTCGCATTGGAATCTCGAATCTGGGCAGTATCTACCTCCGGGATATCGCGGTGGACAGTTTTTCTCGTCCGACATATCGCGACAGTCGCGGTCTCCATCGCAACGGAAGTAGGAGGCGATGCAATGGCCGGAAGCGCACTGGAAAGTGCCGTTCTTGCATTGGAAGCCGTTGCAGTTACTTTCGTCCGAGTTGTCACCGCAGTCGTCTTCGTGGTCGCAACGCCATCTCGATGATATGCATTTACCGTTACTGCACCTAAAAATAAAATGTTTTGATTAGATTAGTATTTTAAAAGTTATGGAAAATCTTCTTGTGAATTAGTTCTAATATAAATATGTTTACGAAACAATCTAGAATATTAAAGATTATTTAGTTTTAGTTTTTTCTGAAAGATGGTTTTGAAAAACATTTTATATGAAAAATAAATTGAGATAAACCACTGTTACACTGACCGACGTATATTCATACGTTTACTTACCTATACTCTGATTCAGAACATTCTCGATAAACTCCTTTACATTCTTCTTCTAATTCATCGGTACCATCTCCACAATCATCGGCGAAGTCGCATTTCCACTGTTTAGGAATGCATCTGTTATTTTTACATTTGAAATCGGTTTCTGGATTACATTGTGGACAATTTTCCGGTAGTTCATCAGAATTATCTCTGCAATCGTCTTTGCCGTCGCAGAACAACCATTTCGGTATGCAACGATAATTGGATCTTCCAGGACACCGTTGCCATCCGGTAGTACAATTCTTTTGCCTACACATGTAAGCCGGTTCATCAGAATCATCACCGCAATCATTGTCCGCATCGCAAGTCCACAATTTTGGTATGCAACGACCATTCTTACAAGTGAATTCGGTTTCTGGATCGCACGCGCGTTTATTGCAAATTTCTGGATCTTCGTCCGATCCATCTTTGCAATCCGCATCGCCGTCGCATTTCCAGCTGGCTAAAATGCATCTTCCGTTCGAACGACATTTCATTTCCAATTCCGGACATTCTTTGTCGCAGTTTTGTTCATCGGAATTATCGCCGCAATCGTCAGTACCGTCACAGATTGTTGCCGATGGCGTACAGTTTAGGTTCTTGCATTGGAAGGTTCCCGCTCTACATTGGCGTGGTGGACAAGTTGAAGGTTCATCGGATCCGTCTTTACAGTCTTTTTCACCGTCGCATCTAGAAAAAATTATAAAATTACAGTATATACCAGAGTGTATCTCTTAACGCTGTGTACTGGGTATGGCATGGTATATTAGACATGTTGGTTTTTAAATCAAAACTGGCAACTTGGTGAATCTTCAATCTCCACAATACTACAGATTAAATTGAGGCTATGAAAAGCTAAGTGGACTAACCCACAAAATTGTAATTTTCTTTTTTTGATACTATTTGAATCTTGATACCCATATCTATCAAGAGCAAAGCGGACTAAGCCACATTTTATAATAGATCGCTAGATGGCAGTGCTATCGTTGTTTGGCTTTTGAACAAATTAACATATTCATTCCAAAGCAAAGTGGTCTAAACGCACTTAGACCAAATTGGGGTTAGTCCACTTAGCTTTTCATAGCCTCAATTATAACTCATACATGCATGTGCGCATACATTGAAACTAAAGGTACAACAGGATGGTCCATTAGTGATCCACAATAAATAACAAAAGCTCAACTCAAAAGCAGAAATTGCTAAGACACCACGAAGTAAAATAAATAAAAAAAAAGAAATGTGTCATTTGCAAAATATTACTAGCGACCGTTTCCCTCCGAAAAACGTCTTTGGCTAATACCGCAACAGACATTGCATTACATCCAAAGAAAACAACAGAAATAGAAAATTATTTTTAACACTTTTATCCTTAATATTGCTTACTAAGGAGAAACTGATTGCAAATTAAAATAACATTCACCAAAAACAATAATAAGAAAGTCAATAAAAGGCACATACGATCCACATAAAATGATAAAATTACTTACTGCCAGAACCACGGAATACACTTCTCATCGTTTCCTTTACATTGCCACTGTCCAGCGGTACAATTAGCGATACAAGTTTTCCTATCGGTGGCCAAATAGTATTGATTGGGACAAGCACACTTGAACGTAGTTTGTCCCTCGTCTCCGTAGCCATCGATATTGAGATAACTAGAAGCGGGTGGTGGAGAAATCAAGCATAAATGCGAGCAGCCCCCGTTATTGTCGGCGCAAGGATTAAAATAAGAGAGCTGTCTTAAAGGATGGAATACGTGTATGTCGTATGGTTTGTGAGTTGTGTTCCTTAGAAGCTGTAAGTGGGTGCCGTCGAATTTGTTCGATCGACTGATGGCTTTAAGGTTCCAATCGGTCCAGTAAATATAGTCGTCGAATAAGGATATAGCGAAGACGTGTGGTACCGCGTTTCCTGATAAAACTATACGTCTGTGTCTTCCTTCTAAATCGCAATGGGCTATATAGTCCAAATGGGCGTCGGCGTAATACAATCTATCAGTAAAGAAGTCAATAGTTAAAGCGTTAGGCCACGCTATGTCATTTTCCCAAGTTAAGATTCTCGTAAAGTTGGTACCGTCCATTCCTAATTTACCGATGTACGCTTGTAAGTGCCAAGAAGAAAAGTATAAGTATCCCGTGCCGGGATGTACAACTATCGCTCTCGGATCAGGAATGCTGGTCTTTAAAGTTTTACGATTGGTACCGTTTAATTCAGCGACATCGAGGTTTTTGGAATGTCTGTCGAGCCAATAGAGTTTTCTGCCAATCCAGTCTATTGATATGCCTTCCAAACCATGCGAATCGTGACGTACAATAGGTTCTTTAGCTTTACTACCAAAAGGACTTCTGAAAATAGTTTTAGCTGTAACGTCACAGAAGTAGATATTCTGGTCCTTCATGTCGTAATCCAACGCTACGACGTTCATGAGATCCTGATGGACCAAATTGTAGACATGAGCGTCTAATGACATATTCCTCACATAGTATTTGTTTGTGAATATTAGCCAAGCCGTTGTGTTGTCTTTGCGTTTACAGGTGTGTTCGTCTAATTCCCTTTCGTAGAATTCTTCGTTACATTTGCAGTAGTAGCTGCCTGGAGTGTTCGAGCAGTATTGGGAACAAACACCTGGTTTTTCGATGCATTCATCTACATCAGCGCATGCTTTACCGTCTTCAAGTAACCTAAAAAATATAGATCAAAATAAATAGTTATACGACTCTTTACCTTAAAAAAATCAGCAGATAATTTACATTGGCACTTACTTATATCCTTGATTGCATTCGCAGTAATATCCAGTAGGGGTGTCAATACATTTGTGACCACATTGGTGTATTTCAACTTTAGCACATTCATCGACGTTGCAATGTAGAGGTTCATCAGAATCATCGCTACAGTCTGACACCTTGTTACAAACCAAATTGTAATTGATACATTGCCCGTTGTTACATCTAAATTGAGTTGGATCAGCGCACGTTTGGTTTTCTTTTTCTAAATAAAAAAAAATATTTTAAATAAAGAATTAAGCCACATTCTGAAATGAGGGTAAAACATTCATTCAAGTAAAGTTACTTACTGCAATTCACTTCGTCAGAATGATCTCCACAATCGTCTTCTCCATCGCATCGGTACTGACTTCGGATACATTTAAAGTTTTGGCAAGTAAATTCGTTTGTTGAGCACGTTTTGTATTTAGAGTTACATTCTTTACCTTCATCGGTACCATCGCCGCAATCGTTATCGTGGTCACAAACCCAACCCTGGAAAAATATAGTTTAGTTTTAAGTTTATTCTAGTATTCAAATTAAGTGAACCAAAATTGTAGAGCAATGTTTTTTTAAGTATTGACGTCTACAGATAAAAATATAAGTAGGTACTATATGTATACCACGGACGTTCTAGGTGAAAGTATTTGGCATTAACAGATTAAGAGGATTAGGAGAAACTTATTGGCTATTAGAGTTTCAAAGTCTAGCTGCTCTGGATAAGAAGTGGATTGTGCATGGATGTGAATTAAGGATAGTTAGTGATGCAATAACAGATAACAAACGTTCAGAAAAGCAGAGACTGTAGAAGTATCTGCAGAACAACGCGTTGCTAATATCAAGAGCAACAATACAGGTTTCGCTGTGAAACTAGCTAGAGTTGTTTCAAGAGTGGCCTGACAAAAGTTGTAAAGTCATCTGTTTTGACGAAAACCATATTGACTTTCATGGATGAGTTTATAAGATTTGAGATATTAAAGGAGCTCGATGTTGATGCATTTTTCATCACTTTGCTGATGGAGGATAGCATAGCTTGTAATTGAAAAAGCTACACGCTAATCTCACCCTGTATAGTAGTTCATCAGTGGGATTTCCATCTTTTGATACGTCTCGTATCGAGACGCCTATCTTCGTTCAACAGAATGCGATTTTTATGCGTACTGTCTCTCTCTATTCGATACGTAACGTGTCGAGTTCGCACTTAAGAATCCCTATGCTTGAATGAATCATATTTATTGTTTTCTGCAATGACTTAGCCAATGGAAAATAAAACACGCTGGTTTAAATAATCGAATAATACATTTGATTCACTGACTTGGAACAAAAAATTTGGAACATTGATTTTTCTTGAGACGTATTATTGGAAATATACAACTTTACTTTTCCATTTAATGCAAAAAGAATGGTGACAAAATGTTGATGCTTAAAATGAGACAAACAAAAACCGGCTTCAAGCTAATACGAAATGATGTGCTTTGTTTGAATTATGCACTGAAAATGCTGGTTTCAGATCTATTTATAAACTTAGTTATGCCAGGTATACCCACGCTCGCATTTCAAAACTGATTGGCTAGATATTTTAACCGTATAAATTACTTGCAACGTCCGAGCGAGAAGCATTGTGGTAATAGAGAGACGAAGCCCCAGACAGCACACCAAATCCTTTGGATATCTACTGAACATCCCAATATCCACTGCATGTCCAGTCCATGGTGGATATCTATTTTATATCCATAAAATGTAATTTATAGACATGCAAATGTCCATAAATAATAGTAATTATATAGCAAATTATTAAAAAATTACGCCATTGTGCTCGCCATTGTGGCTAATAGTACCGTTCAGATATTTAAAATTAATTTTTTTAAGGTGTATTCAATATCCCATGGACATCCACATATATCAAAGTCTTAGCGCGGACGCAAACCATCGTGGATAACTACTAGATGTAATTTTTGATTTTGCTTCCTAAGTATAGATGGCGATACCACTTTCGTATCTACTCATGCTCAACCCGCCATAATTGAGTTGATCGAACATTTTTTCGCATTAAGACTCTATTAGCGACTGGAGTCGAGAATTTCCATTTATTGCTGAAGAGTCCTAATAAGGATGACTTTTTCCTTAGTGGGCAAACTCAAAGACAGATTGTTGGAAATATTTTTTATCTCTTATTTTCTTTCGACGTTATCATTCATTTGGTTACTTATGAATGTCTCAGGGGGGGATATCGCGCATGGTGTCATGGCGGCGCTGACGTCATGCGTAGAGTTAGTAGAGCTGGCGCGAAATAAATATCATATGACAGACGCATGTTGCAGTAGTTTGTGAGTCGTTTATAGTGATTTATAAGATACTAAGCAAATATTTGTATTATATGGTGTTGTAAACTTTGTTCTCTGTTAGTGGTTTTAATGAAAAACATTGAAAAATTGCAGTACGGATGTAACAGTAACAATTAAAGGAAAGGATTCAAGAAAGATATTATGGTTTCTCGCTTTCCTCGACAGTAAGAGCTTAGCCAGAAGTAAGAAGTGGCCCAAGGGCGGCTCTAGCGGAGGCCCAGGGAAGCATGCCGTTCCCTAGATTAAAATTCTTAAAATTCCATGAGCCTTTTATTAAAAAAAAAAATATGCTAAATGAGCAATTCTACCATCCTTCCCAAGAAAATTCGGTCTGGAGCGGCCCTTGCAATGGCTTGTGACCCTGCAGATAAATTTTCATATGTATTCCAAGCACTTTTAACCTTCCAATTATAAGAGAGATCTTAAATCAGAACTTCACATAATGTGAAGTTGTGAATGAACCATTGTGAATCATATTGGTTAATTCACAACTTGGGACTTCTGGAGACTCTACCCTTACAAGGCTAAAAATTTCGCAATACAAACAAAAGTAAAATTATAAATGTCACCAAAAAAAAAAAAATTTGACTTATATTTGATGAATGATTTAAAAAAACTGTCAGCAACTAGGTCCAGGGAAAATGCAGCGCCATTTTACTTTAATTTTGTATTGTAACAGTTATTTGTATTTGGTACATTTTTTATGTTTTGCATTATATTATATAAATGTTTGCATTATATTATATAAAAAAAAATTTAAACTTATTTTTATTCAACTGGGTAAAATAATGCAGGTAAATGAGTTGCCAATCCTAATCAGGTAAAAATTTCCGGCATATCCAGATGTGAAATTGTTACCAGAATCCCCAGTTTCAAGTTGCGAAGATACCCTTTATTTTATTATCCTGGTTATAAAAACTATTCTTTAGAAGTCGAATTTGTATGAACAAAATAAATCATTAAAAAAAAAAAGAAAAAACTGTTTAAAAAAATATTTCTTTTATGTATGTATTTGCATTTATGTTCCTTCATAGTTTTTTCCTAAACTATCCCATATTAATATCCATAGATACTTCATGAAATTTCTAAAATATTATCCTTAATATTCATCAAATTTCTATAAGTTAGCATATGTTTTCCTCACACTTCGTTAGTATTTTTAAATTCGCGCCTATACAAACTCTACGCGTGACGCCATGCGCGTGGCCGTCCTATTTTTGACACTGTTGATATCCTACCTTTTATTTTTTATACCATGTGAATGTCTACTAAAGATACCTATAAAATATTTTGCTGAATATCTGAATTCTATATCCTGGGATATAGACGGACATTTGGTTGGATATCCATATTTGGATATTGGATATCCACAAAATATATTCTGTGGATATCTCTGGAATTTCTGGTATTGTCTGGAAGATACTAATTAGATATTTTGCTGAATATCCATAGGATATCTTCTATATTCTGGATATAGACGGACATTTGGATATCCATATTAGATCCACGGAATATTTCTGATATCCTGTGGATATATTGGATATCCACAAAAGATATTCTGTGGATATCTTTGGGATTTGGTGTGTTGTCTGGGAGGATGGTACTAGTATTTCCTATGTCTTATGTAATTCACGTTATAGCTAATTGTATTTTTAATTCGTGCTGAACTTGCAATTTGTTGTTACAAACTTTTATTGCATACTTTGTTTTTGATAATTTTTTGTTCTAATTGGTGTAGTTTTTTAGTTATTTATAAAAATAGCATTGGAGAATTGAAAAGACTGGTGAAAACAAGAACAAGTTCGGTGGGACATTTTTAAAGAAATGTTGCTGGGGTATTATCAAGGTCTAAGGCATTATTGGTTTTGAGATTTAACAGAATTGTTCTAACCTTTTTCGTTTTAAATGACATGTCTATAGAGTGATGTGGTACATTTGATTTGAATTTAATTTGAACCTTGAATTTATTATTCATTTCAATATTAAGAAAAGCGACAGGACTATAAAGGCCCACTCCAAATTAAACACCTTAGAACATCCTAAACGAGTTGTAGCAACATTAGTTACTTACAATATTGATGCATCGTCCATTGTGACAAGTATATTGTTCCTCGCTACATGGTTGAGGAGTAGCACAGTGATGTATAGTAGCATTTTCATCAGCTCCATCAACACAATCCGGATCCCCATCGCACAACCATTTACGTGGTATACATTGTGCTCTGCCCCATTCCTTGTTTGCTTCACAAGTAAATTCGTTTTCTTCGTCGCATTTTCGGTCATCTTAAAAAAATATTCGCAATAAATTGAATAATATTATATTTACTGAGTAACTTACTGCATTCGTGTCTGTTATCTTCATCGCTGTTATCTAAACAATCGTTGTCTCCGTCACAGATGTATATCCTGGGTACGCAGTTGCCGTTATCGCACGTGAAGAGATCTCCAAAGCAGGTTCTTCCATCGCTTTTACAATATTCTGGGGGTTCGTCAGCGCCATCTCCACAATCGTCATCACCATCACAATACCTAAACAGATATTCGAAATTATTACAATATAACTAACAATTAAAATGAAGCATAGGTAAATGATAGTTGGAAATGTAAAACGGAAGCACCTCAATCAAGAGGTAAAGTATTTGCATACTACATTGCGTTGTAGAAGAGATGGGTGGATAAATGATAGATGCTTAATTTCTAATCATATTAAGAATAGCTCTTTGGATTAAGGATATCAAAGGAACCTTTATCGAATATTAGTTTAAATAAAAACTGTTCCCAATACTACATGGAAACCAGATGATTATGTTAGACGCTTCTTGTCATTCGAGGCAAATTCTTAAGTTTCAAACCAAATATTCTAAAAACGCATATATCAAAGAGTTTCTAACTGAGAAGAACATATCAAGAAAATGGCCAGGAAAACTGATCACATTAATAACATTGTTATATATATAATTAAGTCATTAAATATTTTATAACCTTTTTAGTTTAGGTTTACAAATTATATTATATGATAGGTGTAGAAATCTGCAATATTTAAATTGCAAGGATTTTAGAAAAGAAAACGAAATAGTATTTGACATAGATATTGAATACTTTTAACATATTGTAGGTATCGTTTTTGAGAAGTTATAGGAAACAGAGATTGAACCATGATGTTTAAGCCATTGTACTGTTAAATGGTTGAGCTTTGTTATCAATACAAGAGTGGGTTAGAAAGTATAAGTAGTGGAACTAGACAGTTTCCGAGGATATGATTCCTAGAACTAATCCCACTTCGAACTAGAAAACCGTTCCTTAGTTGGAACTGTTTCGGCCAAGCCTAAATTTTCGAGAAACACTCTTACCATTAGGGGGCGTCCATTAATTACGTGAGGTATTTTTGAGGATTTTTTGACTCCCCCTCCCCCCCTGGCGAGATTTGGTAAGATTTTCCTTAACTCCCTCCCCCCCTTCCCTAATCTCACGTGAGATTTTTCAAAATTCGTGTTTTGGGTGTAAATGTGTTGGATTATTAAAAAAAACAGTAGAGGTGTGTAATGTGACACTTCCCAACCTTCAATGACGTTAGTAATGACAACATTACATATATGGTTGTAAATAAACATAATTATAAGATTTTTCCATATTTTATTCTAGAATTTAACTTTACTTTCACGCAATTTTACACCGTTTTCTACTAGAAAAAAAATTACGTGAGATTTACGAAAACCCCCCTCCCCCCTAAGTGAGATTTAGAAAGATTTAGTTTTATCCCCTCCCCCCCTTGAACACCTCACGTAATTAATGGACGCCCCCTTATCTGGAATAAATGAAAAATGTATTTACCAAGTCGCAGGTATACATCTGTGATTCGAACATCTGATACTATTCTGCGGACAAGTTCTTTCAGCGCAATGAATAGGATTTTCGTCGGAATTGTCACCGCAATCATTGTCGCCGTCGCACAACCAATAAGGCTCCACGCAAATGTTGGTCTTTTCGCATTTCAGATGGTTAGGGGGACAAGTCGTGTTACTGGGGCATCTCTCGTGAGTTTCGTCAGATGTAATGTTGTCTTTGCAGTCATTTACCCCATTGCAGACCTAAAAGATGTTAAGATTAGTGTTATTCGACCATATTAGAGTTGCTTTTTCTAAAACGGCAGATGTCCAGAGGAACAGGCGGGTAGAATAGAAAGGTAGAAGCCCGCACCAATGGCCACCAAAAGAATGGTGCATCTAAAGACACCTCTCGGCGACGTTATCAAGTAGCTGGCCTTTTAGTGAGAGAAAGTGAGCCCTTAATGATGTTGAGTAATCCACCCTGCCTGTCTTACAGATATTATCGGATTGTGAAAAAAATATTTACCTGAGCCATAGGAATACATCTGTGATTGGCACATGTAAATTCTCCATCTGCACATTTAGGATATTCACAATCTTTTTCATCTGAACCGTCCTTACAATCATTTTCATGGTCGCACTTCCAAGATTTAAATATACAGCGGCCATTTGCACATCGGAATTCACTGGGCGAACATGAATGGAAAGCTAAAATAAGAATGTATAATTACGAAGAATTGAAAGATTTCTTTTTATTTTATCAATGTTAAGATAAAATTGTTGATAGATAGATTTAGATCTAGTTCAATATAATAATAAATTATAAAAAAAAATCAAACCCACTGACTTGCAAAAAGTGCCTACCAATATTTACGGGACGGGCAGAACGAGGTCCCGCAACATTAACGACAGCATTTCGCAACGTGTTACATACAATATTTTTTCTAATTTTGACTAGATTATTTATAAAATTATGTTTTAGTAAAAAAATTACTGACATCTAGGCACCCAATATTACTACTTTCTTGTATTGTTAGTTGCATATGATTAAATTCATTCTTTTATTGACAAATAGAAAATAATAATAATTTATTCTTAACAACTTGTTGTAGTATGTTTATATGTTTGTTAAAGTTATTTAGATTTCAAGAAACTGGGTGATTTTGTCGTGTATTGTGTTTTAATTATTATCTGCTGACTGAATGGAAAACAACACTATTACTAGGTTGTAAGTTTGACCAAATTCAATTTTTATAAGTCAATAAGTCCTTCTTTGATATAAACTTTCAATAATAATGTATATTATTTATTTTAAAACCAAAAAGGTTTATTTTTATTTCTTTTCTTTTCGCAACTGGTGACATAATACATTTTTCAAAACCACTTTCATAATGTTCAACATTATGCAACTGGTTGCGTAAATTAGATAATTTTTTTTAGACATGCTGCGATTACAAAAATGTCACTTCATATGTCAAAACTAGAAAACGCTATTTTAATAACTGTTTCTGTATTTGGCTGTAGTTTAATTGGACATTTTTAAAACTCATTTTTTAAACTGTCAATAAAGATGAGGTTTAGTAGTTGCTAAGGATATAAAAACTGCAATACTGGCAATACAAAGTACAACTTACGGTGAACATCCAAAAACAATAATAACTCTTATCATTCTCGAGTTATAACTCTTTAAAATAGAGGGAGTTGTTTTTTTCATTTAATAATAATTAATTTTATGAAATTCAGAATAATAAAGTAAAAATCTAAAAAGACTCTCTATTCCAATTTTTTTTTCTCTCTCCTGGGCTCGTCTGACTATGTCTCCGAATAACACTGAAGCCTATTGGCTTATTGTGTTTTACCCCATGTTAGTTCATAGCACCCACTCTATCACCTTTGTGCCTTGTACAAGCTATTCCAAATTAGTTATAACTCAAGAATAAAAATCGTTTTCGACTTTCGACTGATTTTCACCTGAAAACTTAGATAGTACCTATTACTTGTTACTGACAGTATTGCTAGTTTTCAAAAAATGTTTAAATTTATAAAAGATATTCAAATAGTATGTTCCCAAAATGAAAGTTTGTTTTTTCTTGGTTCATATAAATATTTGAATAGATATTTTTTTTACAAAATCCTGATAGCGCAGGTCGCAGAGGGTGTTCAACTTTTTCAACTTTGCTTTTCGCGACCAGGTCGTGACGATAATTCAATATTTTTATTTTTGAAAATATGAAAATTGGAACAATACGACTAGGTATTGTTATTTATTTATTTATTTTAAATATATATTCTTTATCATATTATAATTTCTATTTATTTTGTACTATTTTAATTACTGTTCACAGTAGATAAGTGGGTAATCAGTAATCATTAATAATATAAAGAAGTTTTTGTTTAAAAATCAATAAACTAATGAAAAACATTATTGTATTCTAATATTTTTGGGTACGTTATGTTATTGTATCTCTATCATCCTATGAAATTGGTTGTAAATGAAATCACAATGTTTTTAATTTTGACAAAACACAATCTGTAAAAAACTTTAAAAATTATTCAATAAGGCATATAAAAAAGAAATCTAAAACCAGCCATATCTTGATATAACTTTTCTATATAGCCAGATTTCCCAGATTAGCATTTTTTTGATAATATTATTTTGTGGTCGTAGGAAAAATATTGTACATCAATGTGTGAAAGTGATTTTTCACACTCGTGTGATTGTTGTACTCGGCTTATGCCTCGTGCGATAATATTTCCCACTCGTGTGAAAATATCACTTTCCACACATAAGTAGATCTTGAATCATAGAGTTATTTGAAACGCTCTGTCGATTAAGTAAATACAGCCCAAATGTAATAATTTTTTATGAAGATTCGTCTATCAGAGTTATGAAAAGATGTTTTCTGCAAGTTACTCTACTTTTTTTTAATAATTTTATTTAAAATATACTTACAACAATATTTAGTGTCTTCATCGCTGTTATCACCGCAATCATCTTCTCCATCGCAAGCCCACATTCTCGAAATACATCTTCCGTTAGCGCAATAGAATTTACTAGAATCGCAAGTCAAATTTTTAGCAACGCACATCTTTCCTTCGTTAACTAATTTACTGTTATCGTCACATTTACATTCAGCTGTACCGTTTGGTCCTGGATGACAACTCTGCGCGCAGCCGCCATTGTTTATATGACACGCATTGGCTCGGCATATCTGTCTTCTATCTGAATATACTTGAATATCTCTTGGGCTGTCTTCTAGTCTCTTAACCATTTCTATCATGTTAGCACCGGTATGTTTTTCAGCCCTGTAGACTCCTTTCAGTTGCAGATCTGTCCAGTACATGTATCTACCGAAAACTGTTATCGAGAAAGGATAAATTGTAGCCGATATCAGAATTTCTCTGTTTCTTCCATTAAAATCGGATCGTTCGATTTTTTCTCGTACAGCATCTGTCCAGTAAAGCATATTTTCATCGTAATCTATAGCTAAACCCGAAGGTTGCGCTAAATTTCTGTCAATAATTATTCGTTTAAGAGAACCAGCCATCGTAGTTCTAAATATTTTGCCGGCCGTACCGAATTTTCCCCAATCGGTGAAAAACAGAGTTCCATTGCACGGGTCCAATACTATAGCTCTAGGTCTTTCCACTCTAGCTATCATTACGAGGTCGGTTCCGTCCAAATTCATAGCGTAAATACTTCGGTTCGACGAATCGGTCCAGTATATTTTCTGTTGAGTCCAATCGTAAGCTATACCTTCCGGATTGATACCTTTGTTTTTCAAATTCACTATAGAAGTGCTGTCTGGTTTAGTAGATGGCATCTTAGCGATTCTAGCCCATGGTTTAATTTGAGTGAAAAACAGCGACTGGTGTTGATAGTCGAAATCAATTCCGACGACATTGGTGAGGTTGCCGACTGGAGCGAATGGTACTTTAGTCGATTGGGGATCTAAAAATACAGTTCTAACTTCCGTTCTTGTCGAGAAAACGAGGTACTCGTTAACAAAGTCGCATTTATTTCCCTCAGTGAGATTACCGGTAGCGCAATCGCATTTGAAAGAGGGTCTTTGGCCGGTTGAAATGTCTACGGGGAACGAAAAGCAAAGCTGCTCGCATCCACCGTTGCCATACTTTCTACATGGATTCGACTCGTCGGACGGTTGATTAGTAATGTCGTAAATAACTATGTCTCTTAAATTTTTCAAATTATTTCTAACTTTGGTTGGTAACGAAGTGTTACCCGGTAACTTGGAAGCTTTAAATATCGTTTTCAGGTTTCTATCCACCCAGTACAATTCTGATTTGTACATGGCTATACCTTTAGGATTCGGTAGGTTACGTCTAATGACTTCTCGATTTCCACCGCTGTACGATATTCGCTGGATCATGTCCAACTTCGAATCCACCCAATACACGTCGTGAGTATTCATATCGATGGTAAGATCGGTGGGGTCGCTGATGCCTGATGTGACCACCGGAAGCCAGCCAGAACCGTCTAAGTTCGATTTTCCAATTCTTGGATACTGTCCATAATCGATCCAATATAAAATTCGTTTTATTGGGTTTACTGCTAGTTCTCTTGGTGCATCCGTGGTAGTTTTAACAATGATTTTTCTGTGTCTGCCATCCAACCAGCAAACTTCAACATAATTTTCATGCGGGAATACGTTAGTGAAATACATATTGCCGGCGATCCAATCTATAGCGATGCCTCTTATGCCGTTACTACCTATACCGTCTTTAATAATGTGTTGTAATTCGGTACCGTTCGGTCGTATCCTAAAGATGCCGTTCCAGTAACCTCTGTTGAATTCCACCCAGTAGATCCAATTCTCGGCAAAGTGAACGTCTACGTGTAAGACGTGATGACCAGGTCCGCTGATTGGTACCATAGCTTCGGAACTGTCTTTAAGACTGTAACCTCTGGCGATGTCTAGCTGAGATACTACAGCAAACGATCTGAAAGGAGAGCAGTTGATTTCGTTCTTTTTATAACCTATTCCGCAAGCGCATGTTCTGGATCGCCCTTCTGCGGGAATGCACAGCTGCTCGCAACCTCCGTTATTCTGTAAACATGGATGGTCGTTGAATGGTCTTTTTCTAAAAATTGTGAACGATTTCAAGCTGGGTTCGTTTTCTAGAATTGTCCTTGGATTACTTCCTGATGGTAGAGCTACTTGTACTAATTTTTCGTAAGCGGGATCTAGGTAGAATAATCTGCTTCCAAGGACGGCAATAGATTTTGGTGAATGAATGTAGTTTACTTCGCTCAAGATTGTTGTTTTTCCCTTTCCAAATACGTTGATTTTTCCAATTATAGGTGGGTATTCGGTACTGTAGTACAGCATTTTCGTTTCTATATCAATTGTTAACGCTCCTGGTTTGTTAATGCCAGTAAGTAATATGATCGGATTGGTACCATCCATGTTGGCTTTAGCTATTTTTGGCGGTACTCCAAAACCTCCTTCATCCAACCAATATACTTTCCCGTCTGTAGGATCCAAGCAAATAGCTTTTGGATTTGCTACGGAAGTTTCGTTTCCATCGTTTGCTAATATGATTGTTCTATGTTTAATTTTACCATCTATTCTGATGACTTCAATGTTGCTAGCCTTTCTGTTACCGATATATAAGTTTCTTCCTAACCAATCGAAGGCGATTGTAGAGGGAGATCCCACGATGCCGTTGTCGATGCCCAGAACTTGTGTTTTGTTACCTCCGCCGTACGGTGTGCTCCAAATCGTGCACTGTGAATAAAATGAAATACGTTTATTGTTTCATTATTATGTTCCCAAATGCAAATTTTAAAGATAAGTAGAACTTATAGGAGCAAATGCTATGTAATGGTTATTTATGTATCTTAAAGACCAAGAACCAAGCCGAAGTGAATAACATGTTTTTCGTACTACTAGAAATATTACAACTTTTAGAAAACAGTCATTTAAAATAAAAAAATATGTTTTATAAACCGTCAAACACATTTAATAGTTGACTTCTAGTTGGCGTGGGTATAGTGAACAATTTCTAGTTGCTGGGGTTACTGACAATAAGTTTGATATAACCAATGTTAAATACACTATAATTTTTAGTGTCAAAGATCATTTTTAATAAATCAACCATGTATCTCTGCGTCAAACATGGTTCTTCACTATTTCTTACACTATTTATTTTAAAATTTCAATTCTTTAAAGTCAAGACATAAACATTAACTTTCGATATCTGAAAAACAAACGTTTCGATAAAATTGTCAAAGGTCAAACGAGAACAATCTCTATATGGTTTTCTATGTTTCTTTTATTCGCCGACTAATCTTTTCTAATACGTAATATATCAAGGACATGCTAGACTGATCGTTGAATCGTTGAATAAAGTAAGTTTTACCTAAGTATACGCAACACTTTATACATTTAATATAACTATAACAGGTTTGTTCGGGTTCTTCAAAAATATGTTGAAAGGGGAAGTGATGACAGTGGAATATTTACATTGTGACAACGGTGTAAAGCAGTCATTAAGTGCGACGTAGTTCATTCATAAAATGCGTGCTCGCACCTCGGATAAACAAATTCGCACAAACTATCCCCCCTCAATTTAGCAGCCGACGCGACAGCTGTCTGCCTAATATATTACAAACTAGAAACTTGCAGTGAATAAGGGCTTAATTATGTATCAATGAATTAGTCTAGTAGTTTTTCGTCTATGCTAAATACTGATTTAGGTATAAATCAATAATATACCTTTTAAAAATGTTATATCAGTTTTAAAATGTTATTTTAATTATAATTAAAAAAAAAAAAACGAAAAACAAACCGCTGTTGCTAGGTACGCTAAAGTGTACACAAATCAAAAAATTATATGCACGCGAAACGTCATGTTGCTGTGGTGGGAGGTGTTTGTGTGAATGCGTCTTGTTTGTTTTCATTTACGCCGTGACTAGCACAGTAGTATTTTATAAAACTTAGAAGCAAATTTCACATGCATGAACAAATAATAAATAATGCCGTGACAACAAGAAAACGAAGCAACGACTTCTCGTAGGGTGGCGGATTCGCCGCCACAAAAATTTTTTAATCCATACCTAGCTACGACCGACGTAAATACCAACGGCCTGCACACATCGTTTCGCGGGTATATAAATTTTTGAATTGCGTACAAGTTAGCGTGTACCTAGACACTGTGAAAGCAAACACATAAAATATGTGTGGCAAAGATGTACCCAAATAATGACCAAAAGCAACAATAAATTCAATTATTGTAACAATAAAGTTAAGAAATAAAAGAAAAACTACTTACATTTTCGCCTTCTGCATCTTTACTTTCAATCCAATAAATAAGGCTATTCTTTCTATCGTAGTCAATCTGCACACCATGATCAATTCCAACTATCGGCGTTATGAATCCAGTAGAAACTTCGTCGGGTGTGATGGGAACATCGACAATTTGCGTGCCCTTCATAACCATCAAGAACGTGTTATCTTCTTCGCTGCACGTACCGCCGGGATTCAATTTAAAACCAGGTTTACACTTGCAACTATAACCAGTGTGTATAGACGGTGATAACAAGCAAATATGTTGACAAGGAGCAGTTTGGCAAGGATTTTCGGTGATCGGTTGCAAAGAGGGATGATGCACGTGTATACTTAAAGGTTGCGATATCAAATGAGATACTACCGTTTGATTGTTGCCTTTAAACTTATGAGCGGATAGAACTCTATTTAGTTGCCGATCCGTCCAATAAAGGGTATCTTCGAAAATAGTTAGAGAATGTGGATGTAGTAAATAGTGACTGCCGGCCAAAACTTGCTGCCTTCCCGTACCGTTATAATAACAAAAGTCAATGAAGTCTAATTTCGAATCCGCGAAGTAAACCCTTTGGTTAGCAACGTCTAGTGTTAAACCGTTTGGCCAGTAGATTTTGTTGTTGATGATGGTTGAACGGTTGGTGCCGTCCATACCAATTCGCTCTATTCTTGGATTTTCTCCCCAATCAGTCCAGAACAACCACCTGGTGCTAAAAATACAAAATACAAGATTAAACTGTACTATTGAAAAAAAACTTTTTGGGTTTTATGTATGTAGCGTCCTCAAAAAAACTATATCTTACCCAGGACTAGGATCCAAACACATTCCTCTGGGTTGCGTTATATTCTCCCTAACCAAGACTATCCTATTTGATCCATTTTCTTTCGATACTTCGATAGTGTTCAATTTGGAATCCAACCAGTAAATGTTCTGACCTATCCAATCGTACGCCAATCCTTCGACCAGGTCCAACCCAGTAGAAATTATTTCTACAGGATCGGTGCCTCTATCCAATTTTGATATTTTCTTCAGTTTCATGTCTGACCAGAAAATGGTACCAGTGTGCATGTTAGAGGCCGTTGCTACCACGTTTTCGACAATGATTGGAACCCTTTCCAAACCTTGTTCTTTTAGGTCAGCGACGAGAATCGAGTGGCGGTTTGAGATAATTAAAAATGCTGCCGAATGGTCTGAAAATTAAAAGCATTCTCAGTACAAGAACGATATAAATGCTATGCTGAAATGCTGAAATATTTAATTGGTAATGATACTTACTAAATGCTTTGCAAGAATGCTTGTCAGGTTCTAATTCATAACCACCAGTACAAGAGCAGAAATAGGACCCTTTGGTATTTGTACATTGTTGGGAACATATTCCTGGAGGGTCACATTCGTTGAGGTCTTCACAATTCATACCATCTTTGGTTAAAGTTTCGCCAATGGGACACAAACATAACGGACCCTGTAATTTAAAAAAGGATTCAACTCTCTCTGGATATGCGTGGGTACCTACCTACCTACCTACCTACCTACCTACCTACCTTAGGTAAGTATGTGTAGGTATGGGTAGCTACGGGTAGGTATGGGTAGCTATGGGTAGGTATGGGTAGCTATGGATAGGTATGGGTAGGTATGGATAGGTATGGGTAGGTAAGTTTTTATTTAGCTATAACTGAGAAAAGAACTTGGAATGTCTACTTCTTATATTTATCTGGATAAGAGTACATTCAGGATAGGCGTGAAATGGTTAAGATATCGGATATGGGTCATACATGTGTATAATATTGAGAGAAGAATGTTCTGGTGGTCAATAGACAAGCTGTGGGTGTTAGATGCAAATCGCTGAGAGGTGTTATAATCTTTCACTTTTTATTGTTTCACATTCATTTTGAAAGAGAGAATATTATGGCAGTTTGTTAAAAATCTGGCAACTGAAGCTACTGGGTGAAAGATTTTCGATATATTATATAACTTGGAAAACTTTTTGATGAAACACGTTTATTTATATTTCCACTATTTTAAATAAATTGTAGATGAGAGTATAGATAGAGTTTCAATGTAACTACATTCAAAGGTGTATATTAAAATATAATAATAACGTCGAAAGTTTGTAAAAAAATTACCTGCGGGGTCTGTTTGCAACCATTAGAACAAAGACCTCCTTGGTGTTGACATTCTTCGAATTTACAGTCAGGACCTTCATCCGCGCCGTTAGGACAATCTGGTTTATCATCGCACACTTTAGTCATGTTAATACAACGTTCCGATACATCAGGACACGCCCATTCTCCTGGAGGACATCTAAACGGAGGCTTGACGCATGCGTGAATGTAACTTTCGTCTGAACCATCTTCACAGTCTTTTTTGCCATCACAAATATAGGCCTGAAATAAATAAAATAATTTTAGAGCAAACCTCTATGTAGTTAAATATTTATTTATAAATACTTATAATAAGTTTTTACCTTAAAGATACATTGCGTGCTGTTACATTTGTAGAAGTTATTGGGACAGTTTATGTTGCCACAAGATTCCGGTTCATCCGATCTATCATCACAGTCTGGAGTTCCATCGCAATGCCAAGATTTTGGTATACATATTCCGGATTTTTCACATTGGAATTGTTTTTCGGGATTACATTGATCAGGAGCTATGGATGCTAAAGTACAATACATATAATTAGGGGAATGTTTTCAATAAGGTCAATACTAAATTTATAGCAGAAGATTTATATAGCATCATAAACAATTGTTTTGTTGTTTTGTAGTTTTCTTTAAAAGAAAATAGGCTACTTGGAAAGTTTAAAATATATTCAAACTATGTAATAATATTCATTAATAACATTAGGGTCAAACACTTAGCAAGACATTTTCAACAGTTGCTTTTAAAGTTCGTTTTATTGATATCTTGAATATATTGACCCAATTTATGTTACTAGATTCTATGGACTCTATATTTTTGATGATTTCTTTGTTGTAAGGTCACTTTATTTTGACTCCTTTGCCACGTCCGCTAGGCAGTTTTTCACCAGTCGTGATTTGATTTCTGGTAAGAAAATTCCCTTTAGAGGTGCTTGGCTATCAGAGTAGATAGATTGCAATAGTTTTGCCTGATACTTGCCGATTTATTATTTCTTTTACTAAGTGTTATGTATGGCTATTAGTTCGGAATGAAACACTGTTACGAAATCGTTGTCTATCTACTAGGGTCCAAAGATTCCAGCACCGACCCCTTTCTTGGGGTTTGAACCGTCTGTATACCAGACGAGTTCAGCCTGTATGAGAGGTCCCTGTTTCCAGGATTCTCGGGCTGAAATTTGAATTTAAATGAGTGGAGGGAATACACCGAACCACTCACAGAATATAACAAAACTCTTAGGAAATCTAAGAGGAATTCATGGAGAACATTCTGTCAGGAAATTGAAAATACAACTGAAGGATGCTGACTCCACCGCATTATAGCAAAAGATCCAATAAACCCTATGAGGACTTTAAAAACCCAAACAGGGGAATACACTAAAACTGGGATGGAAACATTAGAATTACTTCTTAAAACTCATTTCCCTGATTGCACAATAAACTCAAATGCAGCAAACCAAACCCACACGAACTGGAACTCCTAAAAAAGAGTCTATAGCCAAGAATGGGAAACTGCTAAATGGGTAGTCACAACAGAGAAGGTAATATGGGCAATACGCACCTTCAATCCATACAAATCACCGGAACCAGATGGGGTACTGCCTGTGCTTTTGCAACAGGCAATAAAAACGCTGGCTCTACAGGGCAAGTTTGGTGCATAAACATGTACGAAATACCTGGAAACAAAGCAGAGTTGTTTTTATACCTAAACGTATGCCGTGGCAAAGGCTTATAGATCAATAACTATGACATCATTTCTATTGAAGGATTGGAAAAACTGATTGATTAGCATGTTCGGCAAACCACTCTTCATACAAACCAACATGCCTATCAATCAGAAAAATCTTACGAGTCTGTTCTGCATCATCTTGTAACCAAGATAGAGAAGGGACTCAGTAGCCAAGAAATAGTCCTAGGAGCATTTCTTGATAAGGAAAAAGCTTTTGATAATACCTCCTTTAAATCAATGGTAGCTGCCGCTCGCCAACATGGAATAAAAGACACCATCTGCTGGTGAATAGAAGACATGTTACACGGACAGCAAGTACAGGCACAAATGTTCAGTGAAACCAAGCAGGTGAATATCCACAGAGGATGCCCACAGGGTGGAGTCCTTTCTACTCTACTGTGGAACCTAGTGGCAGATGAACTGCTGAAAACACTAAACAATCAAGGGCTGTACGCCCAAGGATATGCCGATGACAGTCATCCTTATCCGAGGGAAACACCACATTCTTTGAACTCATGCAAAGAGCTCTTAGGCTGACAGAACTGTGTTGCGTTAGGGAAAACCTCTTGGTAAACCCTGACAAGGCACAACTCATAACCTTTACTCGAAAAACAAGGTTGGAGGTTTTAGAAACTCCGACTCTGTTTGGAGGAAAGCTAAACAAAACGAACCAAGCAAAATATCTGGGTCTAATCCTAGATAGCAAACTTACTTGTATCTAACACTTACAAAAAGTGACCAATAAATGTAAAATGTCTCTAATTGTAGGGAGACGGGCATTTGGAAAAACGTGGGGATTAAAACTAAAAATGGTCCACTGGCTATATTTGGCAATAACAAGACCCATGATAACTTATGGAGCGGTTGTTTGGTGGCCAAAAGTAAACCATAAAACAGCCCTCAATACCCTCTCAGGAGTTCAGAGGCTGACATGCCTTTGTATTACAGAAGCACTGAGAAGTACACCGACAGCCTCTATTTTTTTTCTTTCTCCTGGGCTCGTCTGACTATGTGTCTCCGAATAACACTGAAGCCTATTGGCTTATTGTGTTTTACCCCATGTTAGTTCATAGCACCCACTCTGTCACCTTTGTACCTTGTACAAGTTTGTACAGATCCGTGGGTGAGTGGGTTCTATACGTTGTTGGATCAACCTGGGGTTGTCCAAAAATAGCCTGTCTTTTGCGATCTAGAGCTTCGTATTTGCACAGTATGTGTTTGGCCGTTTCTGTTTCTTGTGACATAGTCGGCACATGAGTTCCCCATTGTACATGCTAATTTTGTTCAAGTGTCCCTTTACTGGGGCGTGCCCAGTCATGAACCCTGTTATCAGTTTCAACTGGTTCCTATTCATTAAGAGTAGTTCTCCAGTTCTTTTGGGACATGGTCTGCCTATGAAGGCTTTTCCATGTGCCTGTTTTGGGTTGCTTCCCCAATAGTTGATATGTTGTTCCCGAATCCAGTCGTTTATGAAACCCCGGACTGTACTTTTTGGTACTCCTTCCTGGGTTTGTATCTGGTTCCGGTGTTTCTTCTGACCCTCTTTTGCAAGTTCGTCAGCCTTTTCGTTGCCTTCGATCCCTTCTAGTTCTAAACTAAATAAGTCTTAATATAAAATAAACGAAACAACAGTTTAAATAAACTAACGCTACAAAGTTACTTGAAATTTTAAAACTGGCTATTAGTCAAAACTAGTGATATTATAAATAAATTTTTAAACAAAAATGAAAAATACTTACGACAACCGATTTCATCACTTCCATCATTACAATCGGGTATTCCATCGCATTTATAACTCTCTTGTATACATTGTTTCAAATCATTACATTTGAATTGGTTGGACTGGCAAGTTATTGGCGGGCAATCTTTTTCATCTTCTTTATCAAAGCAATCGTCGTCTCCATCGCACACCCAATTTTGAGGAATGCAATGACCGTTTCTTGGACATGTAAACTGATAGTAAGCGCAAGTTTTTTCGGCACAAGAATCACCTATAAAAAAAATTGAGTTAATTTTATTTACCGCGAAATGACAGTCTCAAATATTCGGCTTTGTCACGAAATAGCGCTTCACGAAATAACAACCGATCAAAGTAGCGCTGACGAAATAGAGTCTACTGAAAATAGCGCGTATCAAATAAACGCTTGAACTAAACAGCCCCATGACTGACGCTATTTCAAAAAGCACTATTTCGTTCAAGCGCTGTTTTGAAACGGGCTGTTTCGTTCAGGCGCTATTTTAATACGCGCTATTTTGTTCACGCATTCTTTTGATACATGCTATTCCGTTCGTCGCTATTTCGTTCATTGCTATTTCGTTCAACCTATGTCGTGACAGTATCCAAATATTCTCATGAAATTTAAGAGAAATTAATTTTTTATTTTGTTGTTTAATTTTTTAATTTTTTAATAGGGTAGGTTAACGAAGTCTACTGTTAAATATTGAACGTATGAACGATTGTATTTTATGCAGGAATTATATCACTGATCTCTTCTCTATCTAATTTGACAATTTCTCAAGTCAAATACCTATACCGCTATACAAAAAACAGATTGTATATTTTGGGGAGTTAATAAAAAAAATAATAAAAATAAAAAGTTATACAATATTATTAACCCAGCTATTAAAATGTAAAATTTACCTTCGTCAGATCCGTCCCCACAATCATTTTCTGAATCGCATTTCCAGCTATTGGGGATGCATCTTCCGTTATCGCAATGGAACTGCGTGCTGCTGCAGGTGACATTAACACATCCTGTTTCGTCACTGAAGTCTCCACAATCGTTTTCTGCATCACATTTGAACGTCATTGGAATACAACGTCCAGATTTGCATTGGAACTCGCTAGTACTGCATGTTGGTTCTAAAAAAATACAACAAATATAACTAATTCGTAAATTCATAAAAGACATCCAGACCATTTATGTATCTTCTAATAATTAGAGGTTATAATAACACTAAACTTTCAGAAAAATTTATCTTCCAAATCGTATCATTTTGACAATATTCAGTTAAAAACAGTAATAGTAAGAATAAGATTATTAGACCTTTTCAATCTAAAGAATTGTTTGATCACCTGCAAAATAGAGTAATATTAAGATACACCTAATAATTTTATTCGTACTCCTCTGAACGAGAAGGACAAATAATTAATCATTTAGAGTTCACATTTCAGTTATTCCATCAAATCGTTCAAACATTTTAGTGCCAACAACATTTAATAATGCAAGAAACCATGAAAGATTCTGAGGAATGTTAAATCAAAAAGTCGATACATTTAGTAGGGTATGTCGATGATTAATTAATAAGGAATAATACAGCTAGAAATAGAAAATTATAGTAGTAAATATAACAAAAGAGGACTATAAAAATAGGGTGATTTTAAAATAAATCTCGCAATAATGCATAAATGGATCATCCATATTGCACACTGAACTGTTGGAGAGACAAACTTGCGTTCACATTGTTTGGTTTTAACAATTTAACACTTAAGATCCACACTTATTAACGAATCTCATTTTTTTATACATAGATTAATAAAAATTTGCGTTCATTATTTTTTATTTTACAGACATACTCTGATGTTTTATGTCAAAAACGGCTATTTTATTTTGAGAATTAAGAAAATTTCTGCGCCACTGGGTTTATAAATTTTATAAACGGAAATATCCAAAATTTCATTAAAAAGTATTTGTTAATAACAAAGTTATATCAATAATAATTTTGTAAACGACTATTTTTTTTAGGCAGATTTTAGACAAATTTTGAAAACTGGCAACAGTGACAATGAAAAGTAAAATTTATTGGTGGAAATCCGAAGTCGGTAGTTAGTTCCATTCTGGGTTACACTGTATGAAAATTTAAATATTTACTGACACATATTTATGTATACAGGGCCGGCCTGTGGAATTTTATGTGTCAATTTCAGTGGCGGCTCGTGGGCACTAGCGGCAGTGGGGCACACACTGGACAGGAATCCCGGGATTCGTTTTTCCCTTAGGAAAACAAGTTCTCCGCTTAATGAAAATAAAAAATATATTTTAAAACAAATTAAATATTACAAAATTGAAGACTAACTGCTAGGTACCGCTGCAGTTGTATACTATTTCTTATAGTTGTGGTCCATTCTTCTGGATTTTTGGCTAGCGAAGTGATCGATGTCCAGATTATTAAAATTTGGATTGGACCGAATAAGTTTTTTTTTCGATGGATAACATGGCTAACGCGCACAATCTATCTTGGCACATAGTGTTCCTTAAAAATGTTTTAATACGTTTTAGTGTCGAAAAACATCTTTCACTCTCCACTGTGGTCATGGGAATTGTACACAGAATAGTTAGCAGCTCCACAGATTCCGAAAATGTAATTGTCAAATTGTTCTCAAAAAATATTTGTAATAACGGCACGGCCCCATTGTGTTGCACAAAGTCATCTCGGGTGTAAAGTATGGACAGTTCGTTTTTGAATTTTAAGCTGTTTACGTTTGGAAATAAACTACACACAGTTTTAATGTCCTCATTTGGAAAACAATCTCCGTAGTCTTTAAATTTTTCACTATCAAATAAATTTGCAATTGTTAGGTGGGTAGTAAAACTAAAACGTTCATTTACCTGCACTACTATTGTATCACAAATTTCCTTACGTATCCTTAAATTAGTAATGGGGTCCTCCTTTTCAACAAACCGTCTCTTCTTGCTTGTACTTGGACCTGATTGGGTGTTGTCGTTTAAGTTTAGTTCAGTTCTTGTGGATCTTGTTGTGATTGCCATTCTTCATGAATTAGCGTGTCTATATTATTTCTAATATTTTGAATAGCTGCTGCAAAATTTGATATGTTTATCTTAACCTTAAGAGCATCGAGCTGTCTACTCTGCAGTTGATCAAAAAGTATATCACAATTTGGCATTATATTGTGAAGAAAAATAACCAGAAACTAAAATCTGTCTTTCAAAATTTATCAACCCTTTAGTCTGATTAATAGTTTTTTTATCGAATTCTGTGTTCATAATTTCTTCGAGACATATAATCAAATCCTCTTTATAAACATAAATAGTATTGACACACTTCGATGTAAAATTCCATCATGTAGGAGCATTTTAAAGAAAAGGTATTTGGCAATTAAAAATCTCCCAGCGAAAAATTTCTCTTTTATATTTTCACATTAGAAAAAATATTTATATCTCTATTTGATAGTTTGTCAACTAAGCCTGGAATTTCCAACGCATACCTTTTTGAGATGATCAAAATAGAATTTGGTCATCCTTGCCAACAATTTGCGAAAATGTACACCATTAAATTATTTATAAGACTCAGAATTTTTGACTGCTTTATAAAAAAAAATTTTTTTTTTTTGTAGTTTTATTTCTTAACTATTCCAAAGGTCCAACTAACGTTTTTCCATAATCACAATAAATAAATTATTATCATGGTCCAACAGACGCGCACCTTAAGCCTTAAGTAAAGATGCCGCTGCGTACAGTCGTATCTGGTCTAGGTAATCTGTGCCATGGGTACAGCACGTCACGATAAGGACAGTGCCCTTACTGTGCCCTGTGCCCACTTAATTTCGGAATTCTTGGAACGTCGCTCAACGCCCGGTCGTCCAGTGTCGTGCCAACGCGGTTTGCGCTGAATATTAGATAAAATAATAATAGGCATTGAGGAAAATATAAAATATGTAAGTTATTTTTTTTTGGTTTATTATACTAGGGCACGTGCCTAAGTGCCCCTACGGCAAACCGCCACTGGTCAATTTATTTTATAGCTGCATTGGAAAAATGGATTATTGATTAATTTTTAACAGTAAATTACGAGCACTTGCTGTACTTATACAGGGTATTTGGTAAATATGCGGTAAAAATGCAAAGAGTTATTCCTTGGACTATTCTAAGAATATTTTTTTTATTTGATAATTTGTGAAAACCCGCTTCGTTTCGAATATACAGGGTAGGGTGTGTTTGAAAGATTTCAGGGTATCTATTCTTAAATCTCAGGGAGTAGAAATTTTGAGGGAAGAATGAGACAAAAATACAAATTTTGCGAGTTGTAGATAAAGAGGAATGACCGGTTTTCTATTCCCTCGAATTCAAGAATAGCTACCCTGCAGTCAATGATGTGAATATTGAATGCTTATATTCAAGCTGGAGGAAGACATTTTGAACAATTATTGTAGATTAAGCAACTTTACACGTACTTTTTGATAATAAAATATTATTACTGTCGAAATTTTGTTCACCCTGTATCTTCGAAACAAAGCGGGTTTTCACAAATCATCAAATAACAAAATATTTTTAGAATAGTCCAAAGAATAACCCATTTTGCTGCATGTTTACCAAACACCCTGTATACTATAATCCTGAACTAAATATTTGGTGAGACACATAATATTTAACTTTAACCAAGAGATACGACTTAAAAATTATTTGCAATTATTTTACCCCATTTATCCACATAAACATTTTTAGAAATAACAGATACTTACTAGTGCAGTTCTGATTTTCATCGCTGTTATCCAAACAATCGTCATCTCCATCACATACCCAAGACTTTGGAATGCATCGCTGATTGTTACAAGTAAAGTCCCAACTATTTGGACATGCTTGAACCGGTGGCTCATGGTTAGGATCAGCTTGACAAGTTTTTTGATCGGCAGCTAACCGTTCTCCATACGGACATCCACATTTAGCGTTTAACTCGTAGATACCGTCCCTCGGAATAGCGAAACACAATTTCTGACATCCACCGTTATTATTCCAACAAGGATGGGTCGGTATAATGGGTTGCTCGTGCTCGCTGTAAATTTTAACGCCGTATAGCCTGTTCGTTTGAGGTTCTTTTATAATGATTTCTTCGCCGGCACCGGTAAGTTTGTGTAATTTTACAATAGCGTCCAATCTCCAATCCGTTATGTACATGAAATTATCGTATATGACTATACTGAAGGGATGTCTAATCAATCTCGAGTTTACAGTTTTAACGTCGGTACCGTCCAATTTAGAATGCTGGACATGATCTAAGAGAGCGTCGCACCAATATATTCTATCTGCATCGAAATCGATTGAAAGACCATTGGGCCAACCGAGGGTTAAATTTTTGAATACAAGTAGATCTGTACCATCGGAAAGCGTTCTAGAAATGTTAGCTGGTCTATCCCATTCGGAAAAGAAGACGTAACCCTTGTTAGGATGTACCACTATAGCTCTCGGTCTTTTTAAATCTTTTAACAAAGTTCTTCTGTAAGTTATATTACGAGTTGATAGTACGTTTAAGGTCCCTTTTCTACTGTCGATGTAATATAAATTTTTAGCCGCCCAATCTACTGCCAAACCTTCGACACCTTCATTCTGCGAAGCTAATACTATTTCTCTATCAGTACCATTTCTGTGTACGCGGTAAATCACATCTTGCAACACATCTGAGTAGTAAATGTACTGATCCTTAGCATCAAAATCTAAACCGACGAATCTAGCTCTTCGCGAGACGACTGGTAGTATGGCGTCGCTAAAACCTTCGATAATCGGATTCAAAACTCTTCCTTTGATAAATCTTTGCTGAGAGTACATTAAGAAATCGGTGACCAAATTGCAAGTACGTTCGTCTGCGTCTAATCTAAAACCGATGTTGCAGGCACATCTGAAGCCTAAATGAGGGCCCGTTTTGGTAATCACGCACATATGCTGACATCCTCCGTTGTTATTTCCACAAGGGCTTACGAAATGGGGTTGTACCAAAGCATGCATAGCTTTAATGGCTTTGGGATCTCTAATATCGCGCATTCTGTAAATGGATTGTATACTGCTGGTTTCATATTTGTCTACAGACATGACTCCTTGTTTTGTACCGTCGGTCCAATATACTCTGCTTTCGAATAGAGTTAGCCGAGCCGGGCTAGGAACTTGTTGTCCTCTTACTACCAAAAACCTGTTGTTTCCATCATAATCCACTGTTTCGATATAATCTAGCAGAGAATCACACCAGTAAACTCTTTTAGCGATGATATCTAAAGAAATTCCAGATGCTTTATACGCTGCTTCAGAAACAATTGCAACAGGTTTAGTACCATCCATGTTGGCTCTTAAAACTTGCGAACTATCCGCTACGAACATTAAACCGACTAACGGATCTAAAGCTATGTCGGCTGGGTTGGTTAAGTTGTTTCCTAAAACAATTGCGTGCCATTTGCCTTGAAGTTCGAAAATGTCTACTTTTTGGCCTATCGAATCGGCCACGTATAGTTTGTTGCCTATCCAGTCGACTGCTATAGCTATTGGTAACCAAGAGCCTGGTAAAGAGATATCTATGTCTGGGGTCGAGAAGCCTGGGGTGCTTACTATTTGTTGTGCATGAATCTGTAAGTGAAAAAACAGTTATTAATGTTTTAGATTTGAATAGCTTTAAATATGACTTACCTTCTTTGTTTTGGTATCAGACCAATAAAGCATATTTTTGGTGTAATGGAAATCCAATCCACTAGCTCCAGTAGCGTTAACAATAACCTTTAAATTGCTTCCGGTGCTGGTCATACTAAAAATCGCTTTGTCGTGAGCAAAATATAACAGTAGAGAACTGCTATTTTCTGCTAGACATCTATTTTTCTCTTTCAGGAAAAAACCGCGTGCGCAGGAGCAGGTGTAGCCTCCTTCCGTGTTCGTACAAAGTTGGTCGCAGTAGCCCCATTCATTACATTCGTTTCTATCGGTACAAGTCCTGTTATCAGGTCCCAATTTTTTGCCTTCTGGACAATAACAAGATCCTCCTGTTAAAGAAGCTTGGCATTTGTACTCACAGCCGAGAGTAGGACAAGATAGTTTTGCTAAAAGAAAAAAATAATCATTTACATAATACCGTTTTTACTAATTCATTTAAATTTTAGCAATAAAAAACTTACAGCAAGCCGCCTCCTCATCTGCATTATCTTCACAGTCTTTTTTTCCATCACATAGCTTATTCTTGGGAATACATTTATGGGACCCAGAGGGACTACCCTTAGGACACAGAAACTTATTGTCCGGACACGCTATCGCCGTACAATTGACTTCGTCCGATCCATCTGAACAATCTTGGTAACCATCGCAACGGAAAGCTCCTGGTATACAGAGGGCGTTGGCACAACGGAACTGAACCCCGTGACATACTGGGAAATCTATAAAAAATGAAATAATAAATAATAGAATCTCTAGAATACAAGGGCGTAGATAAGGGAGGTAATGGGGGCAATTACCCCCAAGCCATAGTCAACATCAATAGTTTTTAAATGTTATATTAAAAAAATAGAGAGATAAAATAAATACAATAAAACGAAGAGTTTCTCAAACATTGTCATCTAAAATAATAATATTCCTGCAAATTGAACATTAACATTTATATACAGGGTCCCATTAGTGCGTAATTGTTCAATATTTAAATTTATGTTATTGACAAGCAAAAAAGTTTTAATAAAAGTTATATGGATTTGAAAAATACATATTTAAAAAATATTTTTGGATATACAGGGTGTTTCGTTTTTGCCTGACAATAAAAATGTATGTTTTTTAAATAGAACACACTATATTTTATGTTATTTTTAGAATGGCTTGGGAATAATAACGAATAGAGGTGATATATCTGGTTTATTCTATACAGAGTGATTTGAAACATGTCTTAAATATGACTAATTTTAAGTTCAATTTACTTAATTTTTCAAACGCAACATACTGTAAATTATCTTGGCATAAAATTCCCTATACATTTGCCTATGTAACAACACCAATGTGTTAATCAATAACACATCAGTGCATAATTGATCGATAGCTGTTTTATTATTAGAAATACGAAGAAATGTTTAATATAAAAGTTGTATGACCGTATTTAATAAATATTCTTAAATATACAGGGTGGTCCATGAACGAGGTGCTGACCAAATCTATACTTTTTTAAAGCAAAACATCTTGCAGGTAGTAATACATATTTGATTGTTTTTAAATCGTCAAACAATTTTAACTGACTTTATTCATTTGCTATGTTATATATAGGGTGTGTCAAAAAATGAGGTTGCGATTTTCTCAATTTTTTAAATGGAATACCCTGTATTAATTAATTGGTGGTATGACATATCGGGTATTCCATGTAAAAAAATGAGAAAATCGTTACCTCTCATTTTGAAACACCCTATATACAACATAGCAAATAAATTAAGTCTATTAAAGTTGACGATGTGAAAATAATTAAATATAAAAATGTATAGGTTTGGTCAGCTCCTCGTTTATGGACCACCCTGTATATTTAAGAACATTAATTAAACATGGTCATACAACTTTTACATTAATTTGTTTTTCCTATTTCCAATAATAAAAAAGCTATCGATCAATTACTCACTATTGGGACATGTTGGTATCGTTGGACAGGTAAATTTATAAGGAATTTTATGCGAAAATAATGTACAGTGTGTTGCATTTGACAAAATTGAGTAAATTGAACTTAAAATTAGCCATATTTAAGACATGTTTCAAAACACTCTGTATATGGAAATGGAAAGGTCTACAAAGATCAACCAGAAGTCTATTTTTTGTGACAAATGGCGTGAGAAATATTTATTAATCTTAAATTTTATGAAATATAAGGTGTTCAAAAAGTTTTGAATAAAATTGTTTCTTTAGTCCTTCATTGTACACCAATGGATTATGGTAATTTATCGAAATAGTGTGTTAACTAATATATTTTTTTTTTGTTAGAGTATTGTTACTAGTCATTACTGACTAACCTACAATTTCAATCTAAAAATCTTACAAACTAATTACTTATCTAAGAAGTCCCCATTGGGCTGTCTTAATTGTTTCTAAAGGAAAGCATCACAAGTTGGCGTGATTAACGATTAACTATCATTTTTAAGTTAAAATCTTTTCTGTAAAGGAAGATATTTAGAAGATATGTATTTATGAAATTTACTTAATCACCTTGTAGAATGAAAACTGGGACGTTTATAAGAAAATTATATATAGCTTTTCTTTATAATTGATTAAGATCTACAAATCACCAAAATTACGGTACTTTATTCTGAAACACCCTGTATAAATATATAAAAAATTAAAAACCTTATTATAAAACTCACTCTTTTTTTCTGGAAATACACATATGAACTCTAGACGTTGTATTGGTACCATATTCTAAGATAACATGGTGCGCGTTCACCAATAATGTGAAAAGTGTTAACCCCCCTCCCCCCAAGAAAACAACCTATCTACGCACTTGGGAATAATAATGTGTTGTAAATTAAAAAAAAAATAATGTGCAATTGTTTGCGAACTCTATTCATTGTAATAAATAATAAATTAGACACTGCGCTTTTCTTATGCAAAATGGCTTTCCGTCGAATGACATAAATAGACCAAACCAAATAATGTCCATGGGTCAACTTAATACCTTTGGTTAGCTTTTAAAGTATATAGTGTTAATGTTAGAGACAGTTTGATTATATACTCATATTAAAAAGTACAAAATTATTATTTTTTTCTCTCTTACTTCAATCACTTATCACTGTCTTTTCGAACGAAAAATAAAACTTTAAAATTCTAGACCAGCTAGATATTAACTTAAGGGAATATCGTATGTTAAAGACAGGATATTTTTCTTTACTTTTTGAAATGAGATTACGAAATGCTCGTATTTGATGTTTTCGTTTATCTTATATAAACCTACCCCGTTCGAATATTGCACACACGAAATACGATAAAATTTGATATATTGAATTTGCGTTCTTGCTTCTTGTCTGTCACGTTTAGAGAAATGAAACGTAAATCATGTTCAATAAATTTGACGTTTTCACTACCTATTTTCCCGTATGTACGCGTTATCTTACAATACCTGAAGAAAAACCAACCAAATTTTAACGTTAAATAAGAGAGCTATCATGTAATATTTTGTGCAACAAGACTGGATATGATGACCTTATCATACGAAGACCAAGTTTGAGCACTCCGCCTACGGCGATAAGAATAATCAACTCGAGTTGAATAGTATATTTTTTCTATCACCACTAATGAAAATATACAAATTTAATACAATTTAATTAAAAACAATTTATGGCTCTTACTAATTTATAAGAATAGAGTTATTTGTTTAATTAGGCAGAAAAGTAACAGATTTACTGCCGCGGCTAGCATTACATTGCCGAGGCGAAGCAGAAGCAATGAAACTAGCCAGATATTAAAATTTGCGATTTATTTGTAAATATAGATGAATATTTTGTGGAATGCCATTATTTATCGATTCTTCACAAGAATCACTCATTTTTAATTATATTTAATCTCAATAACTAAAAAATATACTGACAATTAATTTGATAGAACAGTGACTAAATTAAAATTAACCAAATATGAACTGTGATTGGTGGATTTCATATCTGTATAGTGTTCTTGGAGATTCGTTCAGTATGGCCTACTCTTTCGTTCTGTCGTCTGTGCGTAGAATAGGATAATTCATGTGGCTGTAGAAAAAATATACGGGACTAACTATAGAGAACGTCGTAAAAAATTGGGATCGATCACATACCTTTTTTCAAATAAAGGATTCTGTATGGCTTGACATTTTTAGTATTATTGGACCATTTATTCATGGTCAAATTTTAAATTTAATTGAAATTGTTCGAAAGTAAAAAAAAATTATTTAACATTTTTGAATTTACATGATAATAAATTTTTTTTTTTTTAGAAAATATTAAATTAAATTATTTATAAATGAGGACCAACTATCTGAGCTATGAAGCCCTAATGTCAAAAGAGTTATTTAATCAAATATGTATATTAAGCAGAAACACAAAGATATTTATTATCATAAATATGTAATATATGTATTTAGTTATTTTAAAATTATTGTAATAATAATTGTTAAAAATAAATATATGGGATCTCGGTATTAAAATTAAAATGTAAACAGTTTTTTCATAATATATAATATACGATAAATGGATATCTACAAATTCACAATATTGAAATTTTGCAAAACTTTGTTTGAAATCAAACTGTAATCTGATTTGTGACGGTTTTATTACCATTTACATGTATACAAAGTACTACATAATTCACTTCATAATACAAGAATAAGTCTAGTAAGATTTTTAAATAAATTCATTAATAATAAACGTTTGGTAACTAAAATGTCCTTTAAACTACATAATAAAACATGTCCTGGGTTTAGTAAATACATATTTCTAGATGTTCTTGTAGCAACCAATAGGTATATATTTCCAACAAGTTAAGTCATACACATGATAAATATTATATTTATGACGAAAGCACGAGACGAACTTAAATTAACACTAAATGAAACTCAAAAACACTATTACAATGAGAATATTATCTAAAAACAGTTATAAACAATCACAAATACAAAATCCGCCCAAAACAAACACATGTAAATAAACAAACATCCTACTTATTCGCTCCGTGCGAAGCATGTGCGAAGACATGGAAAGGGAAGCAAAAGCGATACTAGCGCTAGCTGCAGATAATTCGTGCATTTTAGGGCGATATTTTGTAATTTTGGCATATCAAATACACGTATACATTTTACTTTTTTTTCAAAAAAGTAGGTAAAAACAATACGATAAGCAACCGGAGTTGCTGTATTGAAAATTGTACAAATACTAGCAAAAAAAAACAGTAAAACTTGTATAAAAAAATTAAGTAGCAAAGTGGAAATTAAATCAAAGAAATAAATGGATAGGTGTACAATAAGAAGAAAAATTACCTTTAGTTTTGTAATAATAACAGTAATTCTGGAAATAGTAGACATCAGAAACTTGAAAGGTTGTAAATAAACAATAAATTATCCTTTTTCGAAGTTCTTTAATATCCCTTTATTCTTAAATGTTCATTCAGCAAGGACTAAATTTCAAGATTTCTGCCTTTGATTATTATATGTGGCGGGAATGCAATTTTATGACTTACTGATGGAAAACCAGTTTTAATCATTCATTCTATGTTTTCTTTCGAACAAAAATGAAAATATAAATAACGATCCTTTTTATATACATTTTTAACTTCACGCTAGTATTAAATGGTATTTTTTTATTTTGACAGAACAGGCTAGTTCCTCAATGACAACTTATTAGACTTAGGCAACTTCTCATACATTTTCCAGTAAATACTGTTGCCTGCCTATATTTTATTATTGATTTTTATGGATTAAACATAATTTTCTTTAATTTAAGCGATAAAAATATATAATAATAATAAATTAATGTTTTACTTGTTTTACAAATCCATATACTTTTATTAAAACTAACATATATACTTTTTAATTACGAATTCTATTAAAAATTGTATTTGTCAGTATACGCAGAAATAGTCCATTAATACCAAAACGATCGCGCACGGAGCGAATAGGTGACAAATGACAGGCGCGCGAATATTAATTTGAATCGCGAATACTATTTTAGATTCAGAAAAACCAGGTTTAAGCTATATCCCGAATTTCATTGACACTAGCAAAACCGGATGATAGAAAATGCTTGCGAAGGTATTTTTTAATGTTATTGGCGTCTGGAAGCATATGTGTCATTGCCAGCAAAAAAGGAAAAAATTCATCAATAAGCAACTTTACTTTAAATTTGTCAGGTCATATGACAGCTCCTACCACCGGGACATAGTAGATAATGTCTATCACCTTCTCCTGTACTCAACTACAAATAGAAAGCAAAAAAGACGACGCGTCACTTTATGCAGTCATATGAAAGTCTATAATGGAACAGAAGCTATAAAAGAACGCGCAATTGTTGCAGGACTCTGTATATAACTTATCAGAAATAATACCAGGGACAGATAATGATTGTTATTTAAAAGGTTGGAAATTCAGTAACGTAGGTATATAAAATTTTAGATTAAATGAACTGAATATATAAATCTATTTGAAATATTAATTAGTGTGAAATTACCATTTTTTACCTGGAAATGACATTTGACATTTTTGCGCTATGTTGAAAAATATTTTCTTATGAAAAGAAGGGGTCGAATAACCCCTTTAATTTTGAAAATATTTGAATAAATTCAATCCCGTAGTATCGTGTTAGATACATGAATTCGTTTTGAATTTTCTTGTCAAAAATTTTACTCTGTCCTCAAAGTACACAGAGTGTTTTTAAAATACATGTACTTCTGAAAACAGGTACTTGGTAAAACAAGATGTCTAAAATCGGACGTCAATAATTTTGCTTTGAAATTCTTAAGTTTAAATAAAGGAATATTCCTCATTTTCCGAACATTGTTCTAAAATAAAATGCGACATTTTGTAATATTGTCAATAACAGACCCACTAGGCAGCTATTGGCACTGAACTAAGCTGGCCTATTTAAATTAAATAAATTATTTGAAACTAACCTACCTCCACATGGAAGTGGCACACCTCCATTTAAAAATTTAAAACTTAATAAGTCTTTTATTTGCAGATAGGTATTAGAAAAAATAATGTTTTTGTGCATTTCAGTAAAGTTCAAATTAATTAATTAATTAATTAACCAGTTTTAAAATGTACATGTATTTTAAAAAGACCATTATAAAAGATCTTATAAGATGTTATATACTTACTGCAACCCTGTTCATCGGAATTATCTCCGCAATCGTCTTTATGGTCGCATTTTTGAGACATTTCGATACATCTGTGACCTCTTGAACACCGAAATTGGTCCAAACCGCACGATACTCCTGGACAACCGTCCTCATCTCTACCAGTTCGACAATCGAGGTAACCATCGCACTTCTTTTCTTTTGGTATGCAGGGATCTGTCGCTTTGGTCCCACAGTGAAAATCGTCTGATTGGCACTCTCTGTATGCTGAAAATAATAAAATATATTAATTATGTAACCAGGAACGCGGAGTCTATATCGAAAACGTGCCAAAGCATGAAAGTGCCATTTCAAAACTAATTTACATAAAATCTAAAAATGATATACAAAAGTAGAGGGTTTACTACTTCATTCCCTCCCAACAGCAAAAGACGCATCATATTCCAGACTGTTTCAAGTTTAAACAAGTTCATCAATATTAAAACCTTTATCAGATTCCAGGTAGTGCCTACGGTTACTATATTCAAAAATACAACTTCCTGACATACCTAATAAAAATTCCGATACATTTTTTTAAAAATCCGGACAAAATAATAAAACTTATGAAATAATTACTAAACGTGCAATACAACCACAAGACATTCGTCTATTAAATATGTAACATAAAAAAATAAATTATAAAAAAAACTAAAGTTAATTTTAACGACCAGAAGAACTGTTGGTCGTTGATTTTAAGTATAATAATAGTAATAGTTTATTAAAAAAAAGTTTACAGATTGTTTGGTATGAATTTTTTTTTAATAAAGATTAAATTGAACTTTGTCGTAGGCTCGTTAAAACCATATGAGGTCGTGCACGAGCTAATGACTAAGTTTAGTATCTATACCTATTTTAGTAATCAATGCAAAAAGTAATACTATATACTAAACCTAATATAAAATATCATCAAATACAAAAACAATTTTAATAAAAGGAATAATTTAAATACACTTAAATAACGCAAATGTACATAAAAATCTAACATAAAATATAAATCATATTCAAAAAAACAATTTTATTACTAGTAATAATTTAAATTGGAGTGATTTTATTTTCTATCAGGTCATGTATGTCTTTTTTAAATAAATTTTATACATATTTGGTAAAAAGTTGTATATTCTTCCAGACAGATATATAACATATCTTTGACCCACTAGTCTCTGTAATTACATAATTATTTAATTTATTTCTGGTAGAATAATTGTGATCTATGCTTTTTAGGAAAGTGAATCTAAAGGGTAAGTCCAATTTTTATTTAAAATGATTTTTAAAAATTTTTTCAGATGCATTTGAAGAATTCCTCCCCATCCAAGTATACCATAATTTAACCTCGACTGAACAAGAGAATAATAAATTATTTTCAAATGACGAACATCTAGACATGTTTTAAGATATTTAAATTTTGAAAGAAGGCATCTTTAAGATCTAGCAATATCTTCGACATGGACATTCCACTTAAGATGCGAGTCTAGTTTTATTCCTAAACATTTAATTTCATTCACTGACCTAATAGTTGCATTCTGATGGTTTTGAATCCGTATTTTATTAAAGGGTGGTAAAGAGGAGTTATAACAGCAAAAAGGAACAAAATGGGTTTTCTCAAAATTAACAGTTAATTTCTTATGAATAAACCAGACAATAATTTTACCTAAATCTATTTCTGTTTTTCTTTTTAGATCCTCCCAATTTTCAGCTGCATAAATAATGGCGGTGTCGTCACCAAAACTAATTATGTTACTTTCAGTTTCAATACTGAAGAGGCCATTAATTTGTATAAACACTAAACAATAGAGGACCCAGAACGGTGCTTTGTGGTACTCCATAATTAAGTGTTTTATATTCACTAAAGACATCATTCACTTTAACTATTTGTTTTCTATTATTTAGGTAACTAGCCATCAAATCAAGTGATGTCCCTCATATTCTTGCATCTCCCAAGGCATCTATCAACTGTTTATGACAAACAGTATCGAATGCCTTTGCGAGATCCAGAAATACACAGGCTGTTGGTTTCCTATCATCAACGAGTTTGTAGATGGTCTTTGTTAATTCGGCAATTGCAGCATTCGTAGATAAGCCTTCTTGAAAACCATATTGGCATTTAGATATTAATTTATGTTTATTTAAAAAAGTTGTTAAACGTATTTTTAAAGCTTTCTCAAAAATTTTAGTAAGTGTAGTTATTAAAGAGATTGGTCTATAATTGGAAACATTATTCCTATCACCTTTTTTGTAAATTGGTAATATAATTGCCACTTTAAAATGATTTGGACATTCGCCAGTATTAAAAATGTGATTTATTAGGTTAACTAATTGAGTGATAATTTTATTTTTTATATTTTTTACTATTTCGGTTGTTAGACCATCTATTCCTGGTGCCTTTTTACTTTTTAAAGATTCTATAATTCTATTTATCTCTGCACCAGTAACCCGATTGTAAAATGGATTTATTTTTCGGTGAAGGTGTTTGAGGTTTAATAATTTTACATACGTCTCTCCTACATCAGTGAAATGTTGGACAAATCGATTTGCAATGCTTTTGTTGTTCATGATAGATGATCCATTTTGAGCAAGCTCTTCCTCTACGTTTTTAATATTTTCTTCTTGTTTCGACCTGTTTACAATGTTCCCAAGATTTTTAGAATAGTTACTATTTTTTTTATTTCATTCTTAAAATAATCTTTTTTTGCAGATTTTATTATTTTCTTTAACTGGTATCTGTAGCTAAATAATTCATTTCTTTTTTTCAGGTTATTTGGGGTTTTCAAGTACTCTTTGTACAGAGTATTTTTTATATTTACGGACTTTACCAAACCTTTTGTAATCCATTTTTGTCTATTTTGTTCATATTTCTTTATTTTTAACAATGTAGTATTTTTTTTTATAAATAGTTCTAGGGATTCTGTCAAGATATCGCATTTTTCATTTACATTTTTCCCAATCTTTATTTTTTAAGTCGTTTCTAAGTTCTTTAAAATTGATTTGTTTTTTAATAAAATCTTTATTTTTCAAATATAATAATTTTAATGGCATACTTAAAAATGTCGCAGCTACAGTACAATTTTTAATAGGTTCGGATTTACATTTTAAAAAAATATGGTCTAGACAACTTTTAGATTTTCCCCGTGACCTGGTGTGCTTATTAATCATAGATTCAAAATTAAATTCATACAGTATGTTAAGATATTCAAAAACTACATCACTTCTATTATCTTCAATATTTAAGTTAATATCGCCTAAAAAAATATGAAATCCTACATCCATCTACTTTTTTGTTGAAGATTCTCTCTTAAAGACAATACAAAATTCTCATTAGTGGAAGGGGACCGATACATGCAAGTTATTAAGATTTTTTTTTTCAGAAGTAGTAATAGGTACATATTTCTAAAACTGAAAACTGCCCTATCAATACGATTTTATGTGTTTGTTTGTAATCATTTTTATTTAATTGACCTTAGTTGTATATTAGCTGGTACCCCTCATTATTAAAGCAATGAATATCGTCTTCTATGAAGGTCTCCGTTAAGATAATCATATCCAGTTCCCTATCAATTTGTGAGAGAAGAGCCATAAATTCATCAAAATTTTTATGCATACAACGAATATTTTGGTGAATACTATTTAATGTAGTTTTATCTCCATTTATGTTTTGTATGTCATTAATTCTATCTAGTTCTAAGGTATCATATACATCATAATTAACATCTCTAACGAATTGATCCATTTTTTAAATATATCAATATAGCCATGAGCTTAATACCTCAATAGTTTAATAATTTTCCTAAAAAGTTCGGATAATTTATAATTTTCGGCGCATTCCGGACAAAACCCCAAAATTCCGGACAAGTCCGGACTTTTCCCGACGTTTTCATTATCTCTACTTACACATTAAAGTTTTTACTTTATTTAAAATATAACAGACTTCATCAAATAATGCTAAATATTACTTTTAAAATTAGTTATTTGTTTTATTTGTCTATACTTTTAAAAAAGTCTTTCAAATTGATTCACACCAACATATTTTGACCTTATTTCAGGGTGGTAAGTACATTACAAATTCACTTGTTTTTTGGAATTTGAGCTTTTATCCTCAAATTTATATGGAATATGTTAGAAAGCCCAATTTAATTTATGTAAACAACTGGCTGTTCGTAAAGTAGGTATAATTTAATTGACCGATAGTTCGGCTCAATGTTCATAAAAGACCGAAGGAAACTTGGCGCATCCCTGTGTTCAACAAATAAAAGAGAATTGGCTGTCCGTATAGTATAATTTAATTGACTGATTTTTCTAATAAAGATTTGAAAATTTATCGTTATTACTGATTTCTAAATTTTCGGCGTCTCTCCGTTGAAAGCTGAAACGAAAGCACCTAATTTCCTTATACCCGTCTGAACCCAGCCTCTACTTTCAACTGCTTCTCTATATTTATGAGTTTTAAACGAAAGCAAAAGAGTTTTTTAAGCGCTTAATAGTTAAAATTTAGGGAAAAAAAGAAACAAACACAGAAACATCGACGAATGCATAATATATATCTGGCAAAACGCGCCATTATTATACTATCGAGCTCGAAACATTTATTGACAACATGGCGCAGCGCATCCGGTAGAAGATTGAAACTTAATGGAATTTCCATTTGTGAATGTTTATATCCCAACGTGTTTCAAGGGAATGTATTTTCGATTTCGCGCCGTTTATTTACACTAATAGAACTAACAATTTAACATAGATAATAAAATTTACATAGGATAAAATGAATGACAGCAGAAGATTATAATTAATAACATATATGGCCTCCTCTAATTCATAAAACTTACAAAGCAATTCTGGAACTTCAGAAGGAATTCCATACTGACTTAGGAATTCCGAGACAACTGAAAAAATTTCGAACATATTTTCTGAAAAAGAAAATGTTATTCTGAGTTTGTAAATATATAACAAAAGATAAGTTGTTTAAAAATTAAGGAACTACGGGATTATTATTATTATTTCCTACCAAAGCCATAACCCAGTAAAAAAAAGTTAATGTATTACAGGGTGATTAGATAAAGTATTTTTGAAAATTATGAGAATTCACAAGTTCAACACCCTGTATCTCAAAATTAGTCATTACCCACCATTTATTTTGTATTATTTATTAAATAAAGTAAACCGAAATCACTTGAAAAAAGTTCAGTGATTGAAACTTTAGCATATTTTTTTATTCCTTTCAATATTTTAATTAAT